GAGCACGCGCGACCAAAGCAAGCGCACCCGGAGCCAGCGCACTCGGAGCCAGCGCATGTGTAGTGAGCCTAGCGATACCGAGTCGCCGCGAAGCGGCGACCGGGAGCGCTAGTAAATTATAATGCTTTATTCTCATCAGGCACATTGAATATGCCCAGAAGACGATATCCCTAGACTTATGCGTATGATGAGCGCCATTAACAACGAAGTCTCGAAGACAACCACGACGATGCGAGTACTCCACGAAGGGATCCGAGACTGTTTCTCCACCTGCGAGTCTGTCACAAGATGAGCGCCAGCGGCATCCAGGTTGGATCCATCGGCAGCGAGGATATCTCGACTTATCAAGTCTCTCATGTCAGCTGAAAGCGCCGCGTCGAACGCTCGCGTCTACAACATATATCATCGTGAGGGCCTATTGGTAGAAAGGGTCATGGAGATTCATAATGAGTGACGACTTGAGTGAGGATCGCTATGGAATCAGAGGTACCGTTTACGCCTCTATGAAAGTCAACCCCAAGCCGCAGCAAAACTCTGAAATTCGCACAAGCGTTTTTCCACGGATCCCATTTTTCCCGGTCATAATCACAATCTAATCACTAATCATGCTGGAGCCGTATCCGCACACATTGAGCGAGTCTCTTTGGTATGTGCTACCTAGATTTGGATCATTGGTATCTATTGTCAAGACGAATATCATATCATATCATCCACACTGGAGTGGAGGAAAGCAACTTTATTCATCCTCGAAAATCTCCGCCTTGGTCCCTGTTCGCCGTGTACCGATCAACTGAAAATGTTCCCGCCAGAGACAGCGGCTCAGAGTGGCATCAATTTCTACTGAACGTTGGCAACGCCCGCGTCAATGACTCGCGAGGTTGCGTTTCCATCTTACCTGAGTTGCTTTGTACCTCAAACTTGATCGACGAAATTCACGGGACCATATTGAACGAGACCACTTACAAGAAATGGTCCACAAAGCCATCCTAGCTCCGAAGAATCGAGACGTGACTTCTTTGAACGAAGACATCATCAGCAGAATCCAGGTGCTTAATCCAGCCGACGACAGGGTTTTTTGGAGTATCGATTACATAATCCCGGACACAGAAGACGATCAACTACATTTCACCACGGAATATCTTAACACGCTCACTCCGTCGGACATTCCGCCACATAAACTGCATCTGAAGAAAGGCGCCATAGTTATGCTCCTACGTAATCTGGATGTGGGTGCGTACCAGTTTGCGCGCAGCTCCAATTCGAGCGCAAGACCAATTTGAGCGCTGGTACAATTTGAGCGCAGGGCCAATTTGAGCGCCAATCCGACTTGAGCGCACCGCCAAACTAGCCGCTCCGCGTCTTAACCCCAAGTGCTCCCGCGCGGCACCGAAACTAAGGTTTAGGCCCATGGATTGTGTAATGGAACTAGGCTGCGTATTCAATCCATTGGTCAATTCACTTTGACATTCCAGTTCATTTCCGGTTCAAGGGAAAACCAAAGCGTCCTCATTCCACGAATTGACAATTATTGTGATAATAAACTTCCCTTCCGATAACGACGACGACGACAATCCTCTCTCCAACTCGCCTTCGCCATCACGATCAACAAAAGCCAAGGTCAAACTTTTTCCCGCGTTGGCTCATCACTGCAGGAAGACGTCTGCAATCATTGCCAGCTTTACGTCGCGCTAAGCAGTGTGACCAATCCCAACGGACTGAAGATCAAGGCACCCAAACCTTACTTAGAAATGTTGTTTTCGATGTTTGAATATGGAGCCTCTCATCTCCTATTCCATTACCCGCCGAATCCTTCATTCTCGTATTTCTTGCTTTCACTAGCATTATCGGGACCGAATCGGTCACGATGTTTTCATATGAACTACTTTCCTCTGAACATGAGTCGTGCACTTCCACAACCTCCACTCATCCTACAACTTCCAAACCCATATCTACTTCTTTATGTTTCAAGTTTGAGTCCAGGATAAGGAGGCCTGGTGTTGCATACGGTCCGTTCGTATCACCACTTCTACGCTCAATATCAATCTTCGATCATGATCGCTGTTTCTGAGAATATGGAATGTACCAAAGCCGAAGTCATGCATTCGGAGACGGAGGCACGCCGAAGAATCACGACGGAGTCGGGCACGTGCTCATTCCAGTCAATGGTTGGCGAGCGTCAAATTATCGTTTCGTGACTTGACGGTGTAATAGCACTCAAAGTGCTTCACGATTGCTCAGAACTTACCTCAACGGCCTGCCCGTCCAGACTCAGGAGTGACAGCTCGGAGGCGGCCGGCTTCGAAATACTGTACCGATCGCATCCTACCTCCCCAGATTCCCAACCGGTTTCGGATCAGCGAACTCGCGCTCCGCCGTTGTCTCGGAACCATCGACGAGCCAACTGAGCCTCGAAGTACACGCAGGAATACTGTCGACAGCGTGCCTCGGCTCGCCTTCGAGCATGACACGGTGGACTTGATCAACGCGAAAAACGATTGACGGACAGTTCAACAGGCGGATCTGGGGGGGGGAGGGGGCAGAGGGGACCATTGCCCCCGGGCACGAGCGCCGAGCCTCTGATACGGGGCGCAGGATCGAGGTTTCATTCCCTACGATTTGTAATGTATATCGACGGGTTTCGCACACGATTTTGACGCTCGATTCGACTCGAGCCTAGCTCCCCGTGAGCGCGGGACTCGGAATCGGCGCCCCTTCATAGTCGAAAGTCTCCTTTCCTCCTCGACTTCATCGCTCAATACGCCAGGGTGTTCCCTAATTTGCGTGGGTCAATCCAGATTCTACTGACGGTGGCGGTCCCCATTGCGAGTTGCGAGAGATCATTCAGTAAACTCCAATTGATCGGGACGCACCTTAGAGCTTCGATGAATCTTGAGCGACTTGTGGATTTGGCTCTTCTGAGCATCGAGCAAGAAGCAACGGAGGAGACGGACTTTGAAGCCATTATCGAGAATTCGCCATTCGCCACTCATAGAGCAAGACGAGTCAGACTTTAATAAATTATGATATATCAAGACATTGTGATCGTAACGAGAACGGAAGTGATTTATATACAAGTCGAGAAATTCATCGGATCTGCATCTGTTTTTTCACTTGAGGGACTAGGTACCGTCAGAGACAGAGTCAGGGGCGCATTTCAGTCCATTTACCCCCCGGCGCCACCAGAGCTAGATCCGCCACTGTTGACGGAGCATGGGAATCCCATCCTCCCGTGAAGACGATCTGTCGGCCATCGAGCCCTCACTATCAAAACTACCGATTGTGAAGTTGTTTGGCACAGACGAACCAAGGGTAAGTCCCCCGGATCCGGATTCCGGTCTCATTGCCGAAGAACGTTGGGCGAGCTGACGAGCGCTGAGTCGACCCAAAGCCTGCAATCGTGCGCGATGATCTCAACCTTCGTGGCACCTGCGGCTTTCACTAGCCGGCGGGCTGGCCGCGAACTGGCATTGTCGATGTGGCGCAGCGACTATATCATCATGTCATCACGTGAAACCGGACTCCCTCCAACCTTAAGTCCGGTGCCCGCCCGTGACAACGTGACCAGAGCTCCTCGATCGAGGAAAACTCGAATAGGATACCTGAGCGATCCCCGATGAGCGACGAGGTGTACCGCCGTTGCTCTATTCACCATTCGCCCCCGGCAAGATGTTGCACCAGCCGCGACCGAGCGCTGGCAAGGCCGAGCTCTTCTCCGGAGGATAACGACTCGGGACCCCCTGCAGGTTGAAGGATCGGAGTGAGCGGCTCGGGAACTGAACTCACCACTTTCCAACTCGGCCAGGAGCTTCTCTCGGTGTCGGAGAGTCATGTCCGCGCCGCCTTCGTTCTTATTCTGTTGATGATTCTTTCGTCGAAACCTGTCGCAGCTGAACCGAGCCCATGATTCAGTGATCTCTTGTGTCGGACTCGTCGACCTCTATCGTAAATGGCGCTGCCTCCGGCGGGCGTTTAAGGTGCTCCCGGCTTGAGAACGTTTGTCAATCCATCATGTTTGAGCTCGGACAAATGTCCGTCGATCTCCCTAAGCTCTCGTTCGACGATGAGGTGACGATCAAGTTCTGAACTTCGTTTGCGGTTCTTCCGGACGCGCTCTGAACCTAGCTGACTCGCGATACGACGCTGCTGCCATTGCGGTTGGAGTCTCGAGCCGATATATTGCCGGCATACCCTGACATCTGTGAGAGCCTTGAGCCATGTGATTCGTCGCGTCAGACGAGTGACATCAGCGTATACGGGTGGTCTCGGTGGGCTCTTGGCTCCTATTATCCAGATTGCTCAGTGACTCGAAGCGAGCACAATCTACGGCGCGGTACACTTCTGCTACCACAGAAGTTGAGTCGGAGGAATATGTTTGCTGCTATCGCAGGCTGAGCCACCCAAATCTCAGTGCTCTATGATCGGCTGATGATTCATACGAGAGCTGAGAGCCATGTCATGCCGACATCGACGACAATATCCGACGGCAATTTTGACTTCGAATTTTGCGCCTCGGCGATCGCGCAATGCCACAGGCACAGGACTTACCTCTTTTCGTAAGATCCTGTCGGAAGGGATCGTACGGGAAAGGTGTGAATTTTTTTCGAGTCTTCTCTTCTGCGTCTATATGAATTTAAGAGGACTCATCATCAAGCTACAAGCCAGAGAAGGAAGAAGACCTCTTCATCATTCCCTCAATGAAAATGTGATTCTCCGACAGGCAAGGCTTCGCAGAGAATCTCACCAACTCGAAACTCATTGAATGAGAAATGTGTGAATCTTCGCGGGAAATTGTGTCTGCGGACATATTTCCGCTTGCGGGAGCTTCCACGAGTCCATCGATCCGATGTGACAAGTGTCATAGTGAAGGCGGCGCCCGTTAGCGCGGAATGAACTTGCGGTTCCACCCGCCAGGGAGCGCTGCATGCGGTCCTCGTTTTTCTCGCCGGTTTGTTGAACAGCTGATCCCTTCGACGCGGCTCGCTCATTTGCGCGCTGGATTTCCGCGGAACAAGGAGAGCTACCGTCATCTCGAAAAGTAAGCCCGATTGGATATCTCGGTTTCCCTCGTCAACACTTTACCACCTACGCTGACGTCACTCCAAAACCGGCTGGAATGTACCTAGATTCTTCCGTTTGAAAGTCGGTACAAATTTTCCCTTCGCTGAATTTTCTTCCGAAACCTCGGTCTGTCCCAGGACTGGAACTCTTCTCCCCCGCAACCTAGAACAGATATTTGATTTCTCTGCCAAGCCGAGAGTCGAAGCTCGGCACCCATTCACGCCGCGTCCTTCCCACATCTTTTCAGATGGGACCGCCGGTAATAAGATGCGAGATCTGTGATGTGGTTTTCGGCTCGCTGACAGAAAAGCTAAAGCATAAAAACTCCCGGCTTCACCAAGACAGACTCATGCAAGAGACTGGGGTAGGTCTTCGTCTAGCTATTTCCAGAGCCGGGCTATATTGCAGATCAAGTCGATTATTTCACGAGACTCATTGTGAGAGATTTTGTTTTCACCCGTGGTGTACTCTAGCTCGCCTATCCGCTCCCATGGGCTCCATTACACGGCTCGCCCGCGGAAATTTTGAGAAATCGATATCTTGAGACATTCGCTTTCTTTGCAGAGAGAGATGCCGTCTCGTCCTGTAAACGTGAAACCCGCTCGCGTTTCGGAGGACGACAAGCTGAAGGCGGAAGCTTTCTTGAACAGTTTTCAACGAGACTACCATGTTTGTCCGGTCGGTAAAAATTTTGACGAATTCCTAGAGGAGAATAACATTAAGATCGTTCCTGAAGAAGAAGTTCCTGCCTCGTGAAAAGCTCTAGCGGACGACGTCTCTATCATTCCAATATTGTCGAGAATGGAGCCGATATTGGCGAAGCAACAATAATATCATCGCCAACAGTTATGTGCAATGAAGTTTGTTAAAGATAATAAAATATTCATCCGCCCTTCTTGAGAATGGTTTTGTGAGATTGGAAAGATCGATTCCCTCGGGTAGCTCTCGCGATCGGAATCGGAGTGGGAAAGAATGCCTGAACGGTCCTTGACCCCCCATTTTTCCGCGGCGGAATACTCTCCGGCTATCTGCAAGGCTCTACCTCTGCGTTCAACCACCACATCGAGGACTGGTACTATTCCGAGGGGGTTTTCCTCTTTCATACAATCCGTGACGATCTAACGAATTTTCGAGAATCGCGTGTGCATACATCGCTCGTTGTTCAGCCCTGTCGGAAAAAGTCGGATAAGGTAGAGAAAACACACTGCTCGACACAGACGACTCGTCAGGCAGTAACTCGCGACTAAAATTCGTCCCTGGACGCGAAATGGTCCCGGTCCCGGATCGTGAATTCAGTGGGAGAACGTCTTCGTTCTCCTCATCGGCGACATCTAGTTTTGACGGAACATGGATAGAACGACGCGAAATCTTGGTCGAGCAGATGAGCTTCACACTGGATGGACGGCTTCGCTCATATCACATGATTGGGCCTGCAAATTTTCCGCGGCGATTTCCCGCCGCATCTGCAGTATTTCGCGGCCTGCATGGATTTCCATACAGATTCACCTCGGTATGTTCCGAATAATCGTGGTGAAATCGATTCGTGGGTTAGAGGAGAGAGCCCGAGCAGGTTCCCTTGACACCGCCAGCTTTTCTGGTTGTTCCCTCCGTGCCAAATGCCGATCAGCGGGGACGAATCTGTTAGCGGACGTTCTGAGTGCTGAGGCATTCCTGAAAATTCGCACGGAGAAGTGAGAGCTTCGGCTGTGCGGAAAGCAATGATCGCCGACAGAACTTCCAGGGATCCTCCGACACTTCATATTCACAACACTCGCTATTCGACCGACCGCTATTTCTCGTCATTTTTCGGGGGGCGATGATCAGAATCTGACGATCGCTTGTAGCTCGGATCATCTTGAGCTCCGATGATAACCCTCGTAGCGCAGCAAGACCGTTGAGGAGATTTCTCCCACCGGTAGTGCGTGGCGTCTTCTCGATAATACACCAAAAAGTCAAAATTTCGGGTGGGAGTCCCACGATTTCTCTCACGAAAACATTTCCATTCACCCTCGCGATAACGCTGAACAAACCAGTCGTCCCGGAATTCAGAGAGGAACCCAGAATCGGCGACCTTTAGAAGGATCCGGAGGAAGAAGAACATTCCTTTCCGGCCGCGGGCTCGGATAGCGGAAGTAGGGCTGGCGACGAACTTTTGGAAATTGCACATCGAAGTATAAGTCCCATTGTGAGCATCCACGAGAGGGAATCAGAGGAGGACGACTCAGGCATTGAGATCATTCAGCTGTAAAGCTGACCATTGCCATGTACACGAAGTTTCCAGGGGTATTTTTTGCCGCACTATGGAGAGTTCCCGAGCTTGCCCACAGCTCAATAATTCGTTTGCTCCTCTCCGAAACGGATCGTTCCGGGGAAATCAATCTCTTCTCCCTTTTTCAGTGGAACGCCGTGAGATTGTCGCTTTTTCTATTGCCTTAACCATCCCTCGGCCGAATACGATTCCGACTGAGAGCGCAGAAAATCGGTGGAACGATCAATCCGATGGAGCACGGATTGAATACGATTTTCTCTCCTTAAGCATTCGACCTGAGAAAAAATTCTTTCCTCGGCGCACGTGATTCCATCGAGTCTGACCGCACCGGAAGTTGCCTGTATCGGAAGGCGCAGAGGAAACACCGGGTAGAGGAAAGAATGCTCGTCTGGAGTAGAGGTCGGAAATAGATCGTAACGGGGGCATACGTGCTGGAAATACGGGCTGTTAGCCGTTCGTTCTGGAGGTCGTTGCGTCGCCTTGACCTCGCTCCTCTCCTCCGACTGCAGTTCCCTCACCCAAGGGACCCTTCCTCACAGCCCGCCCCCGGAGTCCCCCTTGACGAAGTCTAACCTGACGAGAAATAGCGCTCTCGAGTCTTCAGCAAAGGACAATAACAACAGAAAGCCTTCACCGGAATGCCGCAAGGAGTGTCCAGATCAATCTTCCTGTACTAGGAGATCGAAGAGGTACGTGGCACTAGATATCCAGCGAAGCAGGACGGAATCCCCGGACCGATCACCTGCCGCAGTTCCCGCAGCTACGGATGTGACCACAGCGAATCGGTGTGAAGTGTTCGCGTATGCGCTAGAAACCACCGCAAAGCGGCACTATTTGGCAGGTGTGACCCGCGAAGACTCAGATGCATGACAATGCAGTTTTGTGAAGATGTCAGACGGTCCCTAAACGGAGAACTCATCGTCGGGTGACACAAACGTCACGTAGAATATCAAACCTCCTTGGCGGTAATTACATTCAAGTCAAGGAGCTCGACCGCGTGACCTCCTCTCGACGATTTCATCCCAGAGAAGTTCTGCGGGTTCTGACTCTAGCCCGAAGTCGGAGTCCGCTAACGGAGCGCCCGTGATCCGAGTTCCGGCCCGAGGTCATGCAGCTCTCGGAAATCTAATCTGTTCACCGATGTTCCGGCAAATGATCAAGGTGCTCCTGTGGAGCTCCTTAACCCGCAACTGCTCTCGGTGCTATTTCTTCCTGAAGCGTTCGGATCGGAGACTGTATCGATAGCTGCAGGCTCCTCGGTTCGATGTACTTTTCCGGCGGGATCTGTTGGGAGAGCTAGGCGTCGCATAGAGCACGGTCAAATGAGCTGGAGGTTCAAATCGATGCTTTCGCGCGCAATCCACACAGATTGTTCCTCTCGATATCATGCCACGCAGCCATGAAGCTTCAAACACTCTACTGAAACTAGAGGCATCGCACTCAATCTAGTCATACGTGCACGAAACAACAGGCGAGGCAGCCGCGGAAAATATGAGCCGAGCGCTCAGGCCCGACTCAATCATCGCATCAGACGTGTAACTCGCGAATCGTGGGGTCCTCTGCCCAGCCGGGTCGGGGGTACTCGGAATCGTCGTTGCGTAGGTCTCTGATGATCACAACCGACAGATACAGTGTTATCGCGGTCAATGAATCCATAAAATCCCACCCGATTGTCCGAAATGCTGCGGTCTAGCTCGGAAAACAGTGGAGGGACGGAATACTTCGGTAAATTCGCTCGGTCCTGCTCGCATGAGGCTTTGCCCTGAGGGAACTCCTCCGTTCGCCGTCTGCCGCTTCGCCCTCAACATCCGTGGAAAGTCTCTTCAGCATTGACAAACTTCCCCGTCTGCGGGCCCGGCCCCAGCGCCAGTCGTCATCGTCATCCTTTGAACATTTTTTCTCTGGTCTCCTTCTCCTGGGACCGAAATCTCGGCTTATACGCGACCAGCATGCGGTGGGCCGAGACGGAGGGCGAGACGGAGCCGGTTATACAGTAGCGCGTGCCAAGGGATGATTTGGAACAAAGACTCATCGATTCTATCCATGGATGCGAGAAGAGCAATAACGGCGTCACTCCCCCGTTGTTTACGCTCACGTAATTTGCGCTGCCATTGCTTCTGCGGTTTCGATTCGCCTCGAGATCAATTGAGCGTCGAGGGTTCACGAGGTCGGCATTGATAAATAATTCCACAGGTCCTATGCCTGGACGTCATTCCTGCTGCTCCGATGGGCCTCAGAGCTCTCGGGAGTTGACGAGGGCCGCTGCCCGCGACAGTATGATTTCCAGCATCGGAGCGGTTTGGTCCAGATTCTCCGTTCGGATCTCGCGTGGAAAGACTCAGCCCTGTTAGCAGTCAACAGTTCCGTTTGGGTTTTCCGGAACGGACTAGGGTCAAGGACCCGCTGGCCGGAGCGATCCATCCGCTCTACCGAAAATCCCTCCTGGTCCCGGGACTCTGACAAGCAGCTCGTCGGTCGTGAAGGGGCATAGCCTGGGCTCCAATGAGAATTTGCGCAGCTGTCAGAAAAACACCTCGGACTCATGCGAATTCCCTCTGCTGCCGTACGCAAACAGGGATGATTGATTACTACCCTTGAAGAAACAGTCTCGAGTCTCGACCAAGGTTGTGGAGTCGGGAAATTCTCGAATATTCCGTTTCCGCTCTCGGTGGGAATGTCCTTCCGCAGAAGCACAGAGCTCACCAAAACGGAGGTTGCGTTTGCCAACTTCTGAGCTGACCGAGCACCGAGACGCATATGAATTATTGTCGTTGTGTTGCCTGCTGCATTCGAGTTCACCGGGCTGAATCTCAGGACGTAGCTCCCTTTCGCTTGTGAGGCTATTGCAGGAAACTTTGGGGCGCTCCCCGGGAGTCATGATGTATTCATCTTTGAAAGGGAATATTCTTCCCGACCTCGAAGTTCGCTCTTGGCTCCGGGGGTCCAGCCCCTAATGAGCTGATATGGCGAGATTGAAACCTTTTCGGAGTAGACACGCGGGTCGTTCCAGAGGCCTCCAGCCGAGTCTCTTCTGAGCCGTTTTAGGATTCGCTAATCGGGAAAGCGAATGGGGAAACAATCGAAATCCAAAGGTATCCCGTCGAGAGAGCAGTGATTCTCAACCTGATGGGGGGCGGAGGGAATTCGGGTCGCTTCGGGGGACCGCGGGGCGAGGAAGCCTGAGAACCACTGCTGCGGAGAACCCATCGGACCAAATCGCTTCGGAACATCATTTGATGGGCCTCTGCTTTCTCCAAACATTTCGGATAAATGAGCTCCGCGGTTGTTCTCCCGTTTGGCCGCAGAAGAGTGAACGGATGGTTCCACTCGCTTTGGGTCCTCATCCACGCAAGACTCCCTCTGGAACACGGTCTGATCCTTTGATCGGACAATCGAGTCATTAGAAACGAGAGACTCGGAAATTCTTGAGTCGGAATCGCAGTAGAGATTTGGGGACGGGCCCTAAACGTTTCGGACACTTTCGAAGACTGCTCGATTAAATGCCGGCATATCTTGGTTCGACTCTATCTATGGACTCGATCCACGGAAACCTTACGAACGTTGCGTTCCTCCACAAGAGCTCAGACCAATTCCTTTTGAGGTGATATTCTGCCTGCTCGATGACGTGACTCACCTCTTTCGTCCGAGTTCGCGAGCAGACTCGCCAATCGATTACCCCAACGGCAGCCAGATCCCCTCGCGACAAGTGCAGATGATCACCTCCATTCGGGAAATCGATCGGATTCTCTCCTTGGTGGCGAATGATGCGATGTTGGATTCAAGATGCAATTCCTCTCGCTTTCTGATACACCGCGCGATGCATTTTTGAGCAGATTCGAGTGGGAACTCTTGCCAAGTCTGTCCCCCGAGAGTCCGCTTGATAGGTCAGCTTCCTCTCGAGCGAAAAGGAGATCTGACGAAGCAGTGCGGGGATCTCCGTGCCCAGATTACTAAGACTTTTCTCGCCAAGAGATCGAAGAGAGGCGAAGTACGCAGGTTAAGCTTTTCCTGAGATGCCGTATCGTAACCTGCATGCCCCACTGCCGGGGACGTGTTGCTAGGCAAAGGCGCGAGAGAAGCCGAGGGAAGTCGTTTTAGGGGTACTTGCGTTCCCTCGAACTCGCTAATCGACTTTGGGAACAAGGAATGAGACCGAGAAACTCCCGGAGGCGTTGAGCATGGAAAATTTGAATATTTATTCTGTGGAGCGAAAATTCGTCGCATTCCCGGTTTCGGAAGTAGCTGCAAAGGGAAAGAAAGCTCGGTCGGAGGGAGATCCCTGATTGGAGGGGGACGCAATTTCCGACAGTGCGAATTCACCATTACCAACGGGCAGCTAACAAAGACCAATCGTACACAGCCCAGTCCTTACGACAAACACTGGTTCCGCCGTTCGAGGGAACGTGACAGTTCAGTGGAGGCTTGGCGCGTCGTCAAGGCGGTGTGCATGGTGCCGCCTTCGATAGCACAAATGTCCACAATTTGCTCGAGTTGTTCGTTTCGCTGTCGTCAACTCCCTTAGGACTCGAGCAAGCTCCTGCGGGCGTGAGGCCGCTACCATCGGAGGGCTTACACGCGGCTCGGCTGTTTTAATCCAAGCCGAGAAAAGAGCTTCTTGCAAGCGCCGCGATTGAGCTTTTCTCCCCGAATAATCAGGTTAAACGAGTTTCCAATCACCCTGAGACTGGATGGCGGCCTGTGCAGCTCTTTTGTTCGCCGTCAGGTTTTCGGCTGAGGAGTGGGGCTCTGACTAAATTGAGCTCCTGTAATGTATGTAGAGCGTCCCTAGGAGCCACCATAGTTCAGAACAAAAACGGATCCCGGAAGGTCGGAGCCGACCTCTCGCCGCAGTGAAAGAGAAAGATTTGAGGCTTCAGTCGTTTTCTCGAGGGGCGCGTCGTCCGTCTCTGTAGTCGTGAATCTCCTAATGTGGAGCGGACGGATCTTCCGTGAACGAGTCAATCTAGCCTTCATCGATCGGCGTCGCTTCACGTGAATGTCCCGATGAACGACATCACGTTCTCTTGGCCGCGTGGCTCATGAATAGCCGGCGATCGGAGCCAGAAAGACACTTGACACCGTCGATGGCCAAATGGGGTTGGAGTCGCAAGCTCGTTGGAATCCGGAACACATCGCATACCAACAGAGAGGAACACCATCCAAGTCTCGAACGAACGGGATCGAAGGATCGAAGGACCGAACTGAAGCGAAAGAATCGTGTCGAGCGCACTTACGGGGAATCTCAATCTCTCCGTGTTGCCGGGTCTGTGAGCGCTCTGTCGAATCGCATCGTTGACCCCGACTCCGTGCTCCCCCATCCCGAGCGTCAAACCTGAGACGGACAGAAGGTCCACCCTCGGCGTTGCGGCACCAGTTGAAATATAATTGCGTTCGACCTCTCACACCGTTCGGGGAGATATTGGTTTATCGACCTATATCAATATCTCAGAACCGAGGAAGCGCAATAGAATTCTCGAGATGGTCTTCGGCCAGCACATCCGGATTCTCCGCTCTCCGCAACAGACAGCGACGGAACGATCGAAGATTACGATCTACGGTCTAGTGGTGATCAGTTGTGGAGAGAATTCCAGCCTTCCTGACCACGGATATCACGGATCGACCCGAATGTCCAGACGAGCGGGTTCTGGCGGCGGATCTCGCGAGAGATTAGAATGGGGAGTGGGCGAAGCTTGTTGGAAAGGTTTTATTCGTCTCTTATCTGTATTCATCATCCACTGTGGTTTAATTTGTTTTGTTACCATCTTTATAATATATTGTGCTTTTCAGCAGCTCCGTTTCTTCAGCCAATTAGCACTTCGTTAAGATTCTGACCCACGGAGGGACAGACGAGCTCGAAACAGCACCGTCATTGCAGACGTCCGTCTCTGAACTGTATATACATTCCACAGCTTCTTTCCACCACTTCGCTCTTTCATTCATAGTCGTCACAATGACATTGATCGTAATGAGAATGTTGCCGACCACAAATAATCATCAAAGTTGGACGATCACCTCGATTGATCTATTCTCCAGGGGAACAGTTAAATAAGATCAGCCACGTTCGCGGGCATTTCTTCGATATCGGTGTTGTAGAACGACTCGATATCCTTGAGAATACGTCTGTCGGCCTCTGAAATGAAGTTGATCGCGACTCCCTTCCTGCCGAAACGTCCTCCACGACCGATTCGGTGAATGTAGTTCTCCCTGTTGGTGGGCAAGTCGAAGTTGATGACAAGAGACACTTGTTGGACGTCGATACCTCGGGCCAGAAGATCGGTGGTGATGAGTACTCTTGACGATCCGGAACGGAATGCCCTCATAATTAGGTCACGCTCAGGCTGTAGCATGTCACCGTGGAGGGCGGACACGGTGAAGTCCTTCTTGGTCATCTGATCGGTGAGCCAGTCGACCTTCCTGCGGGTGTTGCAGAAGATCACCGCCTGGGTGATGGTCAGTGTCTCGTAGAGATCACAAAGAGTGTCGAATTTCCATTCCTCTTTGGTCACGTCGACGTAGAACTGCCTGATACCATCGAGGGTGAGTTCCTCCTTCTTGACGAGGATACGGATCGGGTTGCGCATGAAGCACTTCGTCACCTCCAGCACGTCGAGCGGCATCGTGGCCGACAGCAGGATCACCTGAGTGCTCTCACCGAGGTTCTTGAAAACATCGTGGATCTGATCCTTGAAACCCCGGGACAACATTTCGTCGGCCTCGTCAAGGACGAACATCTTGATATGATCGGTGCGCAGAGCACGTCTCTGAATCATGTCGAAGACACGGCCGGGAGTCCCGACAACGACGTGCATACCCTTCTCGAGGTTGCGGACATCGTCTTTGACATTCGTTCCACCGATACACGCATGGCACTTGGCGTTCATGTAGTCGCCAAGAGCGATCACGACTTTCTGGATCTGCTGAGCCAGCTCCCGAGTAGGCGCGAGAATCAGAGCCTGACAGTAGGGATCCGTGATGTCGATTTGCTGAAGAATTGAGATCGAAAACGTGGCGGTCTTGCCAGTTCCTGGATGGAGGGAATGGAGGAAGACGTTACTTGTCGGCTCGCCAATCTTTGGTCGAGAGAAAAATAGGACTCGAAAAACAACGAATCTGAATATGAATCCATCTCCGCCAAGTTCTCCAAACAAACCTGATTGGGCCTGGGCAATGACATCGTTGCCTTCGACGCACGGCAGAATAGCTCTCTGCTGGATGGCAGACGGCCTTTCGAAACCATAAGCGTAAATTCCTCTCAAGAGCTCTTCACGAAGATTCATGTCATCGAAGCTCTCGACGACTTTGTCATAATTTGACTGTAAGAAAAAATATACCAAGTTCAGCGACAAACGTCAGGAACAGTCAAGCGCGTGCGCATCTCAACCGACCGAGGATCGAGGCTCGGAAGCCGCTTCGAAAACCAATAGCGAAATCACGGGGAGTGAAAAATATCGAGAAGGAAACAGAAAAATTACCTCGATAACACCATCGGGATCCATCCCAGCAGCTCCCGTGGAACCTTCCGGGAATCCAGCGGACGGCTCATTATCCCACTCGTGAGACCTGTAATGAGGAGAAGTGGACATTAGAATCGGGTCCGGATAATTCAGAACGATTTACATATTTGGAGTTTGCGCGCGACTTCAGAAGCACACTCGTAACTTCATACTCGATGGGGAGAGGGCAGGCGAGGGAGATGCCCACTTAAGTCTTGTGGTTTGCGTCGGAACGCCGGCTATGAAGTTCCACCGCGGATTCCACGGCCGAAAATACTCGTCGCTGCGTGGATTATGTCTCTGAGCATCTGCTCGGGGCTTGAAATCGAAGAAGGAGCGGATATCCGGAGCCACCGCTTCTTTTTCCAGAAAATAGAGACCCCCAGAGGGCGGGATTCCTTCGGCAAACTCTGATTTCGTCGGGATTAGATCCCTCAAAGGGGCAAGTCCAAATACGATGAGTCATCTTTCGAAACTTGCCATGAGATCGCGTTCGATAATAGTCGCGATGCATCTACACGAGCGCTTGGGATTCTTATGCGCCGCGTGAAAAAAGGATTGCCGGTAGCCGAAAAGGCTGCGCTGCCCGTTCGAATGGCCGGGCGAGCCGACACAGTAATGACTACTCCAACACTAGGCCTAGGCGGGCTTTCGGTGTTTAGAGTGAAATGAGATGAAAAACACAGCGATCGCGCCGTGGAACACGATCACGTCGCTCCGCGAGAAAAATGCTGACGAGCCGATGCCGAAAATCTGCGACTTTCGGAGGAAATCCCGAAAATGCCTCGACAACGCGGCCTGTGAGCTCTCACGTGGGGCAAAGGTGCCGGTTCGAGTGAAATAGATGCGAGAACTTGACGCCTCCTAAAGCGGAGGCAGCGGACGTCGGGACCGGCATCGAGCTAACCGCGTCGCGACGCAGCAGTTCGCGTAAAACACTCACATTTTCACCAAATTCACTGCAGTTGCAACGGCAGAAACCCGAACAATGTCGGAAAAGAACAGTAGGCTAGATGAATTTTAAGATGGCGGCTCCGGTGGCTCTCCGCTTGGGCGGTCGGAGCGCGCCCGGCGCGGCAAATTCGAATCTCGGGCATAGATCACTTTCTCGATTCGTTTTGTGCTGTGCCGAGGTCCTGCCGCGAACATTGTTTGCGGCGCTTCTCAGTATTCTAGAAACAGAAATTTGAGACACTCAGCTATTTTTGAGAGCGTTTACCCGAAATTTCGAGATGCCACAGGCGCCGAGAAAATGCAGAAAGTCTTCAAAAAGCGATCTTTCGCATCCATTCGAAATGGGGGACGGGGGAGCAGACTTCGTGAGGAATTCCCCTTCTAGTAGTAGCTTGTTTGCAGAGGTCCCACCTCAAAGAACTCATTCAACCCTGCCGGGACTTCCCCGGGACAGAGCCTGTCGGAGAGAGCCATAGTGTTCGACATTGCTTGTGAATTTCGCAGCATCATCCTTTTTCGATGCTTTCTCTGAAGCCACTATGATTTCGAGAGCAAATCGAGGAAATTCTCGCTTGTTTCAGATGTGACTTGCGAGCTCCATTCCACGCCATGGAATCTCCAGGTGGCGAAAGAGTCGAACTGTCCACTGAAATCGGGACAGCCGCCTCATACGGCTCGCTCGGTAGACCGTGCACTTCTGTCCTCGGTAAAGGTGCGTCCCTTGTGATTCTCCTCCGTTGTGTCCGCAAAACCGCTCTGCACACTGAAGGTATCCCAAAAACGAGGCTCTTATTTCCTCGGATGAATCAGAATTTCGTCGAGGAAGCGGGCAGCCGATGTGGCCGAGAAAAGTCCGAACACAGAGTAGAGGGTTGCATCTCATGGATAGCTCTTCGATTTTCCTCAGGAAGCTCGACGGGAGGTTCGGAGGACGACGACCTGACGTTCCTTCTGGCTAAGCATCGCGGTCACTCTCAAACACCCGTTCGATTCAGGAAATCTCTCGGACAAATCGAGGCCGATAATCTGGAGGAGACCGCGATACCATTGAGGCACAATTCAACGTTTGTAAGTTCGAGTGACTCGTTTGAGATATTTGATTTCCCTTTATGTAGCCGTTCATTGGTCATAGACACCACGAGACTTTCCTCACTGAGAGCAGAGGCAGGAAAACAGGGAGCTGAGCGACGATGAATCTAAACCAGAACAACCAGAAGTTTGATCGCAGTCGCGTTCGGTGAAGCTGTCCACTGAGAAAAACTATTCGAGAAGATGTCCCCCGACGTCGGGGCGGCCCGTGAGTTGAAGGCGCGATTGTCCGACGGAATTATATGAATCGTGGGCGCTCTCCCCCTCTGATTCGCTCTCTCGCCATTTATTAGTTGTAAAAGAGCGCCGGTGTTTTCTCTTCATCGAAAAGTCGGAAGCGGCAGCGTCAGAAAATCTTCTTGTCGATTCAAAGTCTTGTTTGGGTCTGGACGAGCTGAAGGTCAGGGCTGCTCAGAAACGAACTGTTCGGCAGTCATGCGGCCACCGGCAGTTATGCGCGTGCTTCAGTCCGACCGTTCACTCGTCGATACGACGAAAAAGTTCACCACCTCCTAAGACTGACGGGGGCTGATGCTGCGGAAGTTCGTTCGCAAGGTGGGTCCATCGTTTTGAGAATGAGAAAAACATCTTCTCTAATGGTCGTATCGGGAATTGATCGGGAAGCCATTCCGCACCGGAATGATTCAGGAACCCCGAATCGAGAAGAGCAGTCCGATGAACATTAAGAATCTCATAGCTAGAAGTGATCGGTTGGATCGAGTGTTCTGTGAACAATATATTTGCTCATGGCGTTCGTTCGACTCCGATGCTCTGAACTCTGAAACCTGTCAAAACCAACAAGTGGTGGTGTCCCGAGTGGAGAGACAGCGAGATCGTGACTTGAGCTCGGCGCGGATATATCGTTCCGGAGCACCGTGGATATGGCTCGGATTGGAAATTGAAATGTGCTTATTGTGTCGATGGAAGGAGAAAAACGTTAATTCACGGAGTTAATGACTCAAAGACTAACTGAGTGGCTCGCTGACTGACCAGCCGGCCGCCTGGAGAGGCGACTGGAGGGGTTCTCCATTCTTCGGTATTCTTAACAAGCGACGAGTATCGGAGCAATTGTGAACGAATATGAAAGCTCTCCTCGAAGAGCCCGTGAGTGACGTTTGTGATTTCCGTCAATGCACTTCCTGATCGCTCTCTTTGTTTCTCCTTGGAACGGAGCCGAACTTTTAGTGCGAATGTGGTGCGGCAGCTAGGTATCCCTACGGAGCAGGCAGCCGATCATGTCCGAGACCACGAAACTTTTGACTATGGATTGGAATAATCAAGTCCTCAAGCTCCGGATAAGCGGTACTTTGCAGGTGAGCTAATCTGGCGCTCGCAGATAGACGAGAATGGTTACTGTCGCAGAGTAGACAGAATTAGATCTGACCACCGACTGTGACCAACATTGAGGAGCGAAGCATCATTCTCCACGCTCGGTCGAGCTTGAGCTTGCATCAGAGCGCGTTACTGAAAAACGCTCACCGTGGGGGAATGTTTTTCGCCCGCGGGATGTCCCGAAACCTATATCAGAAAGTACGATCCCGTGATCATCGGGGACGTGGAAGAAAGCTGAGGCGTAATAATAACCCCGGTGGCTTATCGAGGTTGGGATAAGAACAACAGATAGGAGACTTTCTCCACATTCCGGAGAGAATGCCGCGCATGACGTTCGCTGACTTATTTGTTATGAGTAGGACGATCGAGGCGCTCTGATCTGGTGAATACTTCACCCAGCGAGAATCCGATAGGTCAGCTGCGTTCTGCGACGTCGAACTGGCCTCCCATCCTATGAGCGAGAAAAGTTCCCGACGCTAAGAATCGACAGAGCGCAGATGCTCGGAGTCTCGACGCTCATACATACGATCCGCCTCGCGTCTCCCTCCCGTGCAAATACCGCGATGTACGACCACGTTTGAAATCAATAAGCGGTGAAGGCGCGAAATGCCTGCCAACGGAATTCTACAGCTTCTCTCGACCATCTCTCCGCGTTTTTGATTTTTCCGATATCATTCCGATTCTCCCGTCGGGGGACGAAAAATAAGACCGAGAGATCCAGGATGATGGCGCCCAGCTTTCAAACTTGCAATTTCTTGCAGAATGATGATTGTTCAGACTCTGCGGCGGACTCCGGACTCGAGGTCCGGCGGCACAAGAACGTTTTCAGAGATGGAACTACTAAAATAGGTGGGTTTATCGTTGAAAGACCCCCATTTGTCTAGAGTTTTGAAGATTCAGGATGAGCGGGAGAGTCCGACCGATCCGACGGGATAGGAGTTGGATCCATCGGTTCCGAGCCCGAGAGCGGCGCTTTCGCTCACAGATGCTTCAGCGAGGCGTGCTCCTACTTTGAAAGTTTCGCATCGAAACAGAACATTTCGTCATTCACTTTTAGACTACGTCCTCGTCTACGAGGAGAGCGAGCAAACGAAACTTCAAGAGGGACGGAAGTACAGACGTGTTGAGGAATGGCGGGAGTTTTTCCTACAGAATCTTGCCAAAGCGGGGCTCGTCTTCGAAACTGTGAGTATCGACCCGATCTTGACCGAGAATTTCCCCTCCTAACCGATTGCACCGGAAGTATCGAGTCGGTTTGGACCCCTCGGCGGCATACTGGCGCTATTGTCGAGGATCCGTATCCATCGTTCCGGGAGTCGACGGGGAAAGAAGAACGAGGGGAATCGGTACTCACATTATCGACGCTTTCAGGAGACGGTTGTGGTCACCAGCGAGACGAAACAATTACAATTCGTGAAGCTTTCCGCGCCTTGGGGAGTACTCGTTGACTATGCCGAAGCTCTGTGTTTCAGAGCTCCTCTGCAACTGCACTCCAACAAGAAGGTGAGCGGGTTTAAAACTCCGGCAGACTGTCGGGTGCGCCCTATCAGTCAGCGATGCACTCCGGTTTGGGCACTGTTCGAAGTGCACTGCAGATTGCTTCCGAGAATCGACGCCCCCGGCTAAGCGACGGTGGCCAGCCGCAACCCGCTCTTCGAAATCAACGCACGGTATCAAGATCTCAGAAGCCCATTAGCCGTTCGGAGCCCCGGAGTTCAGGGGGAACATCCGACGTTCAAGTTCATAATCAAGATTCCTACCGAGAAATCACCGACTCACGAGCAAAGCGTCGATTACTCATTTCCACCCGCATATGCCGCAACTCTTCTGTCGACTCGTAGTCGAGATTCCGGAAGAGGATAGACATAAAGATTGTAGGTGCTCGGGCGTATTGCACAGCACAGTGTAGGACTCCGGGATCAGAGTCTCACATTCTGAGAGACGGCAACTTGAGAACATGGAAACACAAAGGGACAGATGATTCCCTCGTGAAGCTGCTTCACGCCGGTTGGATAGCTTCCTTGATTCAGTTTTCGCGTGGAGTGGCCGTCTCACCACGACAAGATGCTCCGATGTGCGCCTGAATTGGGAGCGCTCTTCAGTCGACAATCGAGACTAGGGGGTGAATCGACTCTTGGAGCGGGTAGTAATGAGATAATTAGCTCGTATGGAAAAACATCAGGCATCCTTTGCTCCTCATTCATCTGTCGTATCTCAAGATTTCGACTCTCGACTAGGCATCGGTAGCTAGTTACTGCCTCCTACTCAGAGCCGTCTGATCCCTGGCGGGCGGAAAAAGATAGCGGCGAGAAGTGAAACTCAAATCCCACTAGTTCGTACTCTCCATCTCAGCTGCTCCCGGAACAAGGTCTCCCGACATTCCGTGACTCGTTCGAGCTGTGTTTGCCGGTCTGCCTGCCGCTTCCGTCGTGCAATCGGAGCGATTGCTCCCTTCGTGAATACGGAAAATCGACTTTTTCGCACCGACAAGAACCGTACGGATTCTCATTCGTCCACAGCATCTGGGTTCGAGGATCACTGCTCGGACCACTCCGCTCGCTCAAGCACCTTTGATCGGCAGCGGTCAGCGCGGGGAGGGGGGGGGAAGGTCGGGTGTTTGACGATATTTGAGTCTATCAGTGAGCCATTTCGAGGACTACAGAACTTATGAGCGTCGAATTATTATTTGCAGGAAACCTCTTGGACCGAGAAAGCCATGCGATGTCTCAGGGTTCCGAATATATTCGAGCAAGACGTCCCAAATTTGCCAGCAGATTTCTACACCTGCCCGTTCAAAAAAGCCAAACTTGAAAGGCGAGTCCTCTTGACCTCCTCTCTTGTGGAATCGTCTCCTCGTACGTTACCGGCGAAACCTCTGAGAAAACCCACAGAAATGAATTGAAGTCTCGAGAAGCCTTCCAAGAAGGTGAACAGGGTTGGACGGCGGCGTATCCTTCCTTAAAGTTGCGAACCGTCGAAGGGGGAGCCGCAGCCTGATCTGTGCAAAGGATGTACGATCCAGATATTTAAGCTCCGCCCCCATAAACAGACCAGCATCCCATCAAACTCAATCGGGACGTTATCACGTCATAGCTAGATTCAAGACTCGCGAATAGATTCAAATCTCGATCCAGCCCCTATACGCTTAGCTTGGGCTGGAACCAGGAAGACGATGAGCTCCGATTGCCGCAAATATTCTCGATCCTGCGATGCGGTCGCAGGGCCGCTATCGCTGAGCCGCTTGTCGGATTCTCAAGGCCCGTTGCCAACCAAACCTAATTCGGCAACTATTTGCATAGATTTCTAGATAGCGACAATCACGAAGAATACTTCACGACCACACAACGAATACGGATTGTGCATGAGATCCTCCAAAAAACGCAATTCGGTCGACGACGGAAAGCTCATATCGGAATTGATCGTCTCCTCGAGGAATCTGCCTTCTCCGCCGCTTATCCACTGCATGAGGTTTGTCCTCAATAAAATGGATGGTTCAGAAGTTTCCGGAAATTAGATAGTGCCGCGTCGTTCTGATCGATGACGAGGAGCTCATCCGCAGTGCATGACGAGGATTTAATGCGGACTACGTTTTCTCAGGGAGAGTACAGACCGCCAGACGATCTCTTGCCCCGAGAGTACTCGAAGAGACAGATTCTCTACGAGTATTGGGTACGATGGGGCCGTTGGTACAATTTTCAGCCTTTAGACCATATCAGGGAATACTTCGGGGAGAAAATCGCCATCTACTTCGCCTGGCTCGGCCTATACACCGCTTGGTTGTTGCCTGCCGCAATCGTAGGAATCTTCGTATTCATTTACGGTATCGTCAACGTAGCCATCGACAAGCCTACGTGAGTGCTAGACTTCCGCTGGCTCCTTGCGTGAATGCGAAAATTTCCTGCCGAAACATTTGTGTCTCCTCCATTTCTTCTGATCCAACCGCGAATCTTCCAGGGCAGAACTTTGCAACAGTGGAACAAAGTACCGAATGTGTCCACGCTGTGACGAACATTACGGCTGTGATTTTTGGTACCTTTCCGAGATCTGCATATTCACCAAGCTGACGTATCTATTCGATCATCCGGGCACCGTTTTCTATGCTTGCTTTCTATCATTCTGGGGTAAGTTTGGAAGCGGAGCGGCGACTGAAATTTCAGAATCTTCATGACATCATACGCATTGCTCATTCCTTGGCTTACCCGCAGCGGTCACGTTTCTGGAATATTGGAAACGTAAGTGCGCCAGATTAGCCCATCATTGGGACTGCATGGACTACGAAGAAGAGGAAGAACAACCGAGACCTGAATTCACGGCAAAAGCCTACTGCGAGGCCCGAAATCCTGTGACCGGGTTGCGGGAGCCGTCGTTTCCGAACTGGATCCGCACTCAACGTATCGTGGCGGGAATCGCCATCCTCATACTCATGGTAGAGAGAAGTGTTTTCGATCTCACCTAGTGATTTATGCGACCTTCGTACTCTGAAGTCTCGTTCTGAATCTGCATTTGATCAAAGAAATTATTTGTCTATTTCAGATATCTTTGGTGTTGGTTTTCATGGTATCTGTGATAGTTTACCGGGTACTCATATCAATTCCGTTGTTCAGAGACAAACAGCTGAAAGGCTTCGCCTCAGTGATCGCGTCTTCCTCCGGTGCCTTCGTTAATCTGATTTTCATCATGATCCTGGAAAGGATTTACAGGAAGCTCGCTTACAAACTCACTCAATGGGGTGCGTCGAACGACCAGAATGCCTCGATAGAGGATCGTCTTTCGTGGAGTTCCACAGTGGCGTTGAATTAGAGTTCCATTGGTGGACGTACAAGGGTAGCTTGAAGCACTCAGATCCAAGCTTCTCGCCGGTACAGAGCACTAACGAAGTTTTTCTGTTCCACTCCAGAGATGCATCGAACTCAGACAGAATTTGACAACAATCTCACCTTCAAGGTGTTCATGTTCCAATTCGTGAACTATTATTCATCTATATTTTACATAGCGTTCTTCAAAGGTCGTTTCGTTGGCTATCCCGGACACTACGCGCATCTACTTGGCTTGCGAAACGAAGAGTGTTCTGGCAGTGACTGCCTATCAGAATTAGCTCAACAATTAGCTATCATAATGATCGGCAAGCAGACGATCAACAACGCACAAGAAATACTCGTACCGTAAGTCGGCAAGCCAAGCGCATCTGGATCATTCATTCACTCAGACGTAAAATTAGTTTTCTCTCGCGAGACGTAGACGATAACGATCGCCGGTCTGATCAAATGACTGGTGGACGCAACAAGCTCTCTCAGTTTTTTTAAATCCACAATCCTTTCTCTGGGATTCAGCGAGCATTATCTCTTTCAGAAAGTTGCAAAACTGGTGGAACAGAAAGAAGAATCGATTTGAGGAGAATGGGAAGCTCACGCAGTGGGAGCAGGACTACACCCTGTCAGAAAACGAAGGATTATTCCAAGAGTATCTAGAGATGGGTACGCATCGCAATGCATTCGTGAATAACGGGCAATGGAGAAATTCCCCACTATATGAAAGAGGAGAGCTCAGATATGAAACCGTTTCTCGCAGTTCTGCAGTTCGGATTCATCACAATTTTCGTTGCCGCATTCCCGCTTGCCCCTCTCTTCGCTCTCTTGAACAACTGGATCGAAGTTCGGCGAGTATCCGCTCCATGATTGCCTGGCACCCCTCTCGTCGCGGCAGCGTTTTCCCTGATGCATGCGACGACATTCACGATCGATTCTTCCCATCAGATTGGACGCTCATAAATTCGTCTGTGAAACGAGAAGGAGTGTGCCCGAGCGAGCTCAAAACATTGGAATTTGGTTCTCCATCTTGGAATTGCTCTCGAGGATCGCTGTTATCAGCAATGTGAGTCCTGCTGTCTCATCTGGGAGAAGACAGAAGAATCGGAAGAAACTTAGACTTCTCATATCTGATTTCAATTTTCTCGGGTCGCAGGCGTTCCTGATCGCTTTCACGTCTGATTTCCTCCCACGAACTCTTTACCGCTACAAGTTCAACAGGAGTCTCGAAGGCTATTTGAATTTCACCCTAGCCGTCGCTCCGCCAGGATCGGTTTCGCAAAGCTGCAGATATCGGTACCAGAGTCCCCAAGATTTTTTCAGAATCCCATCGTTCCGACTCTCCGGACTCCTCATCGAAGTCCTAGGATTCTCAATCCCAAGATCGCCGAATCTCCGGCCCTGGGAGGATTTTTCGGAGATGGGATAGGGGAATGAATACCCGAACTCACGCTAATCACAATTCGCATGCTTCTAGGGATTTCCGAGATCCTGAGGGGAATCGAACAATGTTCTACTGGGAACTCCTGGCGGCGCGTTTTGCGTTCGTTCTCGTGTTCGAGGTGAGTTCTCCACATCCAGCTCGGCTCCGGATTTCCCGTCCACGATGACGTCAAGCTCATGGAGACTCGTGGGCTCCGTACTTAATGACAACCAATTCTGTTATCAGTGAAGTAATGATGTCCCCCTTTCCGCTAGCACGTCGTGTTCATGGTGTGCCGCCTAATAGATATCGTGGTTCCCGACGTGCCGCAGGAGCTTCTCATCAAAGTTAAGCGAGAGCGCTACCTGGCTAAGCAGGCCCTCACCGATTCTGATCACATACTCAAGGTGAGACCGCTTCTCTCACAGGAAAGTCCTGAGGGGAGAGTCTGTCGATTCGGACGCTGCCTACTCACTAGGCAGGATCCCGTCGATATCGCAAGATTAAAAATATTTAAAAAAATCCTCTCATTTGCCAGATCGTTCGTAGTGACGTCATGGGTGAAGACGAGGACGAAGCAGCGACGAAGGACGCCACCTACATAAACGAAACCAGTTTAGATCCTGAATGAGAGAACGTGTGCTTGATGTGATAGGGAGAACCCCCTTGATAGAGCCATATCCCGCGGTTTATTTAGGGTATATCTCGTGAGGGCAGTCGTCGTCCATGTTCCAACGGCTGTGCTTTTCACACCTGTAGAATCGAGTTCTCAGGAAGCAGGGTTTCCCCGCCCGACAGCGGGAATCCTGTCTTTTGGCTCGCACGCGAATCTGTGGACGGGTCCCAGAGAGCTTACCGAATACAAAGCGCACGAATCTCAAGAGCAAGATCGTTCTCGTAACGGATCAAATCTCCGTTGAGCAAAATCCTCGATGGTCATGCCTCTGAACGGTTCGAAGCTTCTAGCTTGCCTACCTTCGTGATTCAACTTTCCCAAAGTGTCCACAATTTACTCCGCTTCCATGAAAACAATCAATGCACCATCTCAACTTCCTGATATCACCCACCTGCACAGCTTGCATCATATCGATGCTTATACACGAGCAGAATGTCTCTATTAGTTATATGGAACCCCCCCCTCGTTTGTACATATTATGCACTTGGTTCGTGCATCGGATATATTGTTGTGAATGACATTAGAAAACCATGTCGATCGCTCCACGAGTATTTGTGAGTGCGATCAATTATCGTTGAATAAATAGTTTGAATGATGACCCAACTCGAATCTCTTGTAGAAGGAGGTATCTCTTGAGGTGAAAGCGCTCCGCGGGAGCGCTTTCAACTCGAGCCCCATTTCGCACATGAATCATGTTCGAGATTCCGGTGCAAGTTGGATCAATGATCTTATAAGGGATCGCCTTTGACGCGGAGAGTAGATGGACTTTCAGACGTTCTCAATTCCTCCTATGTGAATGTTTTTCTCAGTATTCGAGAGCTCCGACAGACTCAGTCAGAGGTAGTTGATATGCCAAATTTGAGCACGAAATCCCTGGAGTAGTTTCAAATACCGACTCACGATCAGATAGAGATAGATTTCAAACTGCATCCTCTGAGACGGAGCCCTGACGCGTCCAACAGAAATGTGTAGGGAAACACATTTCGGGGGCGATCGGCCAGGAGCTCATACGGCCGCGAGCGAATCCCCGACTTCAAGCCGTGGATTCTCTCGGTCTGGATGGATCGGAACACCCGGGTTCGGGCATTGTAACACTCTATTGAGCCGCGCCAACTGGCTCCAGAGCAGGGGCCCAGAATTCCATGACAAAGCAACGTCAGCGGTTCCTATGGCGATGATGAACTGAGCGAAGGGAAACAGAAAAAACATGTCGCCCTCGAGGGGCGAATACGGTCAGGATAGATTGTCTGAACGCCACTACCCTCAGTCGACATCCCTAAAAAGACCTAATAGACTTTCCGGCTAACTCCCTGGGATGCGGACGGACTTTCTGCAACCAGTATGGTGTGCACTCAATTTCGGGGCCACTCCCTAGAAGCACCAAACAGCCTGCTCGATTCGGAAATGCCTAGATCGAATTCCGGGGGAAGGGGTTTTTCCGAAGATTTCGCCTTCCATTGCAAAAATTCTGTCAAGAGCAGTTTTCTCATCCACGGCTGGATGAAGATATTTGCTTTAACGTTCGTCATGGTGGGTTCAATTGTTCTCAGACGATAGGCTTTCCGCCCGCCATGATGACAGCGAACGCTTCCCATCCAAAAAAACGCTGACATTGTTTGACTCTCATCCATGGATCAGGAATGTGTGGCGACGTCAAGCCTCGAGGGGAACTCCCCGAGTGGGACCCTTCCGCCGGTCATGCGGAGCCAGAGTGAGGCAAATTCGATTGGGGATAAATCAAAATTCTCGGGGCGCCAGGAATGGCGGATAAGATCCACAACATATACTGGACGCTCCGTTTGGAAGGTATGTTTCAGCGCTTCGAAAATAGAAATAGAACACCTATTATCGATAATTTGTCGATGGCTCCATTCATTTATTTTGTTGATTACACGTCTGCGATCCGCCTTGTCCTCGAGCAAAAAAATGCTACCTTATAATTTAGTCAAACGCCAACGCCTCGGACCCGAGGACTCGTTAAGATGGAACGTAATCACGGGTTGATCGTTATAATGAAATTACTGCATCGGGTGTCGCCAAAAAATTCAAGGTTTGGATCGATATTCCGCGGCAGACTTAAACTCGAGATGGCTGTTCTGGCGGGATGAGACGAAAAATACCGAAGCTTCCCGGGAACCCTTCTCAATCCAGCGTGTTTGGAGGCACTCGAAAATCATTCAAGAGCTCCTGAAAATGTATTCAGCGATGGATCGCGACCGAGAAGGACCGACGCTCATAGAATATTTCTGGTATCCGTGTAGCCGGATAAACGAAGTTCTCAAGTGTCGGCGGAAAGGCTTCTCTTAACTCCGACCATGTGTTCTACGAGCTTCAGAGAGAATGTTAGGGAAAAAACAGAACCTCTCCGAGCTTTGTGAGGACAGTCGATTCCGCCTCGAACACATTTCCGCGTGTACTCCATCGTCGTCCGCTTGGAGAGCCATCAGTCGATGATTGCGAGGATGTATAAGGGTGAATCACGAATGAGCAGCATCTCATTGGCATGCGTTTGTGGGCATTTTAAGAAAGCGAAAAAGACCCAGCTCAACGGAGCCTGGGCGTGTTCAACCGACGGCAGTCCGGGCTAGCTCCCGCTCGAGCCACGGCGCGGCGTCGCTTCGTTCCCGCGACAATGCACGTTTCGCTCACGGACGGTCGGAAGCGCTAGGGGCTGTACCGTCTCCTCGATTGAGCAGAGTCTCCCGATGGAAGCCCCCCTTCATTTACTGATCATGTCCGCACTGAAATATGAAACATAGAAACCACTCGGAGCGTGACTCGAGGGCCTCGATATCTTATTCAGCGCCATCCGCATTTAGATTGTCGGCCAGAACAACTCCTTCAAATCAAACGGCCGAAATCGGGAACCAAGCCCTGCTCTCACGTTCAGTATTAGATAAATAACTATTTGAATAGTGTCCAAAGCTGTTCATGATCGCTATATGTGGTCTCGTCGAGGCTCGTGCGCGGAGCAATTTCATTAAAGACCAGAGGACTTGATGTGAGAGACCGCGTGCGGGCAATACTCAAAGTCATTCTCAGCGCCACCCCTCTAAAATTTCGGTCATCTATCCCGAAAGGCCGATTCCGGTGGAAAACGATATCTTCTGACTTATCAGGTGACTCATACAGCGAGCATCCCCAGCGAGAAAAAAATGAGCCGGAAAATTCTGAGCCATCCGCTGAATCGATCAACGAGAATGTTTCTGAGGAGAGCGACGAGCGACCTCGGGTCCGACCCATGCAATGAAGCGCTGGTGAGAGACTGAAAATCGAGTGCCCCGTCGTCACATGACCTGGTCCAGAGGCTGAAGGGAGAAAGGGAGTGGTTTTCTAGATTCACAAGAAATCCCTCAAAAATCAACAGTGAGGCGAACGGGGGTTTCGCGGTCATTGTGTCGCGGGGAGTTCTTGGATGTCGTTAATTTGTTACGATGGGTGAAGATCATGGGAGGCTCATTTGGAATGCCGCCGCAGCACGCTTCTCGTACTTATTCTGAATAATGATATTCTCGAGCGATTCCATTACGGCTGAACAGATGCTCAGATCGCGACAGGAGCTTCCAAATGATTTTCCACACATCTCTCGCTGTGAATAGAGTGCCTCCCGAAAAAAACTCCCTTTGGAAAAGCCACTGAGCGTTGAATACTGGATCCGCGGCCGTTGAAACTTAAAGACCCAGCGATCGATCATTCATCGAATGGTCGACACTTCTGAGACAGATTTCTGCCCGTCCGATATGGCGAAGAAAAGTCGATTTCGACTCGTAGGAGAGTTCGAATTGTTGGGTCGCTCCCGATGTATCGACTGCGATGGGGACAAAGGCTTCAAGAATTTTCTTCCATAAAAATATCATTCCCAGGCTATGTCCTCATTTATTCCGAATAAGCGCGAAGTGACTCTCGTTCCCATCATGGATGGGGTTTTCGTGGGGCGCGCGAAAATCGGCCACAATCCTCGTTTATATCCCCATGGGACCACGTGATCTCATGTGATTCAGGCATCATCGAATCCTCAATTCGGACTCGCCATTATCAGCGGAAAAAAATTTGGCAGGTGCCAGGCAGAAAAATCAAAAAGAGCCTCATACTGATATGCAGTCATCGGAACACATGATGTTCATAGAAACTCGAGCGAGGAGCGTCGATCAATGCAACGTCGTGACCTTCAGATCAATCTACAGCAATATACCGAGTGCATCCGAGTTGAACATAGGAGACACCTTTCTCGGCGAGTCCTACTGCTTGAGTGGGGCCGTCTGATCTGAGCGCTCCTAACGAGTAGGAGCCATAATAATTCGTCAGTCAACCAGACTACCAATTCCCATGGAGTCACCACGGATCGTTCGGCGAGGAAGAATCGGATGGACCTCGGAGGTTCTCGCCTTGACAATATCTCGGGTTCGCGAATAATATCGTATACGAATGAGAACGGCGAAGGAATGAAGGATCGGAGATGAGGTGAACGGGACATTCCCTCTCCCGGAGACACCCTTGCCGTTTTGGTAATCGCGAGGCGCAGTCTGAGCCGCTTAGAATGGTCATCCGTTCATGATAGTAACTCGGGATTGACAGTGGTTGAAAAAGAGGCTATAAGGTTCGGGCAGACACGGAAATTAGCGGGAAGAGCTTACTCAGTGCTGTTCCCAGATTGCTTTTCGTGGAGAGATGTTTCCCCGTTGACAGGTGAGACCCTTTGATCACATCTCTCATTCGAATGTAGAGGAGTAGATTATTCAAATCCACATGGTTTATCAGCTTCCGGGAAATACGAGAGTTCTCCTTCAGTGAGGGGAAAACCCCCTTTCAGCACGTTCAGAAAATTCCAGAGATATCTGAGCGCTGGGAAAGTTGAGGAGCAGAACGAATGAGTGCCTATTGATCAGCCCCTCGAGCACCGGGTCGGCGGACTGATGCTTCCCGATGCGCGGGTGTCACATTAGCGATAATTACACGGCGAGTGCTCTGTTTAGGGTAATCCTAATTTACGTCGCCATTCAAGCATTCTTAAGTTTATACCAAAACGAAACGCGTCGTCTTCAATGCCGTGTCGGACCGTGACGGTTTCATCCAGAGCTGGACGCTGGGCAGATCGGCTCGCATTTCAAATACTCCGAAACGGAAAGCTCTCCAGGTTTGCTGTTGCAAACACCAGATCCAATGCAATCGGGGAAATTCCATCTGCGAGGATCAGGAATGAATTTATCTCAATGAAAGGACTGAAACCGTAAAAGTTGTCCGGTCGTCAAGCCTTCGGAAATGTTCCGAAGACGCTCAAAGGGGAACGAGAAGGCTTTTCGACCGCGATTCTCTGATTGACTCCGGCGTAGGGATCGCTCCTAAACGAAGCGGACGTCTTTCTTAGGAACACTGTGAGGAATCCAAGAGTGTCGCACGCACCAAAAGTGTCGCGGAGGCAGAGAGTCCAACTCTCAGGCGCGGAAATTCATTCGCGTTTTTTTGGAAAAGCATCAAGGGCACTGAGATCTAGGTTGTGAACTCTGCTCTGTTGGCGCCTTATCCCTCTCGGAAAACCCCATCCGTGAATCATTCCGGAGAGCTTCTCTCAGTTCGAGAACTCGAGCTACTCTGCGGGTCAGTCAATTGAGTCGATTTTCTCTGCTACAGTCTGGAGCTTGTCTTTCTGTGGACGGCAGCTGATCACAGAGACGCTTTTTCGGGCGGCCACTCATAAACGTCTGATAACTGGAAGCTCTCTCTCGACATGGATTCCACGACAAAGCTCGTACAAGACGTTCCAGATCCTTGGAGCTGTCGGCACTTCTGGAAACTTATGGCGGTGTCGTGGAAGAGTTGGTTCTCGGTTATTCTCCCTGTGGTACTTTTGCCGATACCCTTGCACTTCAAAACCGAGGTGAGTGAATCTCCAAGTAACCGTATCATTTGTGAAGTGCCCCAAAAGAGTGTAGCTCGATTCCGAACGAGTATGTATCACCTCTCTTTCCCCTCAATGGATGTAAGGCTCATGTGTTCTCTGCTCAGTGATGATGTTGGTAGAGCTAACCAAGAAGAAAATGTAGATCTAATGCATGCAGAAGCCGGAGAGCAGTGAGCTCCGAGGACGATCAATCAAGCTGTGCTGCCCTACAGAAAGAACGAGAGAAGATCTTCGCTCACTTTCAGGCAGCATGGTGCGCGTACCTGATGATTTGGATGGCCTCCATGTGGACAACAGAGGCTCTTCCACTCCCAGTCACATCAATTATTCCAATCATAGCGTTTCCAGCGCTAGGACTCATGTCATCTGCTCAGGTTTGTGTTATCCACACTCCGTCTATCCGGCCTGTCCCTCCCGTTTCTCTTCCAGCCCTGTTTGCTCTTGACTTCTCATGATTGAGTCGAATCGCTAAGGTCGAAGTTTTTCCTGCCGGTTGACTTGAGGGCGTGTGGAGTTTTTTTCTCGTTCTCGAGTAGGTCAACCTCTGTATCGCTCCGAAATTGGGAGAATATTCTTAAGCCGCTGCTTCCTTCCGAAATCAAGGTGCGCAACCTCTCCAGGTGACTAAGTTCTACCTGGACGACATTGGTTTCCTTCTGATGGGATCGCTGGCTCTGGCATCGGCAGTTGAGTCCAGTAATCTGCATACGCGCATCTCTCTGAAGACACTGCTAACCGTCGGCACAAGTACCTACAGGTGAGTCTTGAGGGTGAAAACAGCTCCGTTGGTCAGAGACAGCGCCGACGGCATCACTGCATACCTAAGCGATTGGAGAATCAGCGGATCTCCCAGCAACATCGCATAGGAAAAAGTTTCCTCGGGCACAGTTTCACTCCATGACAGTCAACCTTGACTTTTCGAAGGGGGTCGTTACTCCAAAAAACGGATTGACAGGAGTCGGCTCAATTTTTACGATTACGGTGCTTTTCTACGCGATTCCCCTTCAAGTGACGACTTTTACGACGCGATACATGTCACCCGCGGACAGCGTTGGCCGGACTATGTTTAGATACAAACTGAGAGGTCTAAGCTGTAAAGTTTCACACGCTTGAAAGATTCGGATTGTTTGATTCGCTCGTTAGACGCCGGCAATGGGAAGGTGATTGCTTTTTTCGAAGATCCGCGGAGCCAGATTTCACCTGATCAAGCATCGAATTTATATTCGCGCAACACTGAGAAGGAGCAGCAACTCGTAGATGCACACTTCTCAAGTCGATAGGGTGACGGCTCGTTCGGTGGGACAAGCGACTGTGTCCCACTGACAGTGGAATGCATGTAGATCAGTGCATATGGAATACATGTGGAACAGTCCCGAATTGAGCGGAGAGAATCATCTTCCAGATTAGTTTTGGGCACAATGGCGGTCACTATGTTTCTCTCTATGTGGATCCCGAACACGGCCTCGGCTTCCATAATGGGGCCGGTAGCACTCTCAGTGATCGATCAGGTTCGTCAGTAACTCCGGAGTGCTATTCATATTATCTTTCTCTCAGAGGTTCTCCGAATAGGTATGCTCATCCTTGATGATATTGAGAGCTAAAAAGGCTGAAGCTGCGGAGCTTCTAAGATGAGGCTTCACAGTTTGGAATATTGTCTTTTGAAGGTATTCCACAACGACCTTCCGACATCTGAAAGCCTAGTCGACAAGAAAGGCGGAGCGAAGCGTCACGCGCGCAAGGTACTACAGAAAAGTAAACGGGTGGCGAGTTTTCCCTTGACTAGAAATGAATCTAATTTCGCTTACAACACTCGGATTCCTCATCCCTTATCCAGGTTGAGGGCATAATGATGCTGGCGGTGGCGTACTCAGCCAATATTGGTGGTACAGGTTCAATCATCGGTACGGGTCCCAACTTGGTGCTCAAAGCTCAACTGGATACGTTAGTAAAAATTCGGGGAATCTTCCACCAGCTTCCTCAGTCGCAGACCGGAATTCTCCCGAATAATAATAATAATAATGTGGGTAGAATATATCCGTCTGCTGGAATAGAGTGAAATGACTGAAAACGAAACTCTATCGTTTCCGAAGACTCTACCCGGCATCGACAGAAGTGACTTTCGGCAGCTGGATGCTCTATAACGCCCCAGTGATGGCTGTCAACGTTTTTCTGGGCTTCCTGTTCCTGAGTCTCATTCTCTTCTTCGCGCTGTAAGTTTACCGCGGAGACTCTTCGGCATGATGAGACTTTTGCGAAATGCCCCCTCTGAGGGATCTTGTCGATCACCCCCCTCTGGAAAAGGCGAGCCTCATAGACCTCTGGACGGTCGATATCCTCCCTCAATATTATTTGTCTCATCGTGCAGGAGAAACGTCCAAGTGAATAAGGACTCAGAACGTAGCATACGCCGGAGTCTGCAAGAAAAGTACGATCGCTTGGGACCAATGACGTTCGCCGAATATGTCGTCGTCTTCATCCTCACAGCCACCATTCTGGTTTGGTTTTCGATGAGACCTCAATTCATGAAGGGCTGGGCTGACTACATCCCGTATGGAAAGTGAGTAAAGCGAAACAACCGAGGAGCGAAATTCCGGGACTCGAGTCCAGCTTTCATGGGCTCACAATAATCGAGGGGAGGGTGCTCCCGTTCGCAGACTCATCAAACCCACTGCGCCGGCGTTATTTTTGACTTTGCTTCTATTCACGATACCAAAGGTGAGCTCACACAGGTAAATGGTCTAGAATCTAGAACTTCAAGTCGGCGGAGGAAGATTCGAGGTTTTTTGAGGAGTCCCACCTCGGCGTTCCCTCTATGATTTTTCCGATTATCGAACACCTAGTGTTGGGGGCAAAATCTCGACCTGAATCAAGAACCGAAAACTAGGCTATCAGGGACCTTTCACTACGGGAGAATAGACCTGTGATGATTTTAGGGAACGATTGATGCCCTACTATTCGACTAATAGAGTTGAAGTCGACCCGTGAGCGGCATCGAGCGGAAATCGGAATGGGCTTCAGAAAATCTCACGAGCATCCTTCTCTCACTAGCGATTTCCTCAAAATAAATCGTATCTATTGCTTCGATGTGGGGTCCTTGCTGGGTAGTAGTTTCTTGGATCGTCAAGAATTCAGAGCGGCGACATCACACGGGGACATCTCCATAGGCCTCCAATTGAAGGAAACGTCTGGCCGTGAACGGGGTAGTACGGGTGGGTCGATTTCTCCCTTATTCTCAGCCGCTCAAGCGCTGAGCGAAGGTTCCGCGGCGGAAATTGATGGCGTCGAAATCAGCTACCTAGTATCGTTTCTCCGAAACCATATCCATGGTTACGACTGCCGTCAACAGACGACCTTCACTGGCATCATGATTTTTTCAGACACCGGGTCGTCTCGAGAACTTGGAAACGATACTCACATGGCCAGCTCTTCAACAGAAAATGCAATGGGGTGTCATGCTCCTGCTTGGAGGGGGTCTAGCCCTGGCTGATCTCTGTAAAACCACGGGTAAGTTCAACCGCACAAATTATTATCTATCACTCGCGGATTGCTTCTGCTTATGCTGTATGTTCCCTGTGAACTTCAGGGCGTTCACCTCCATACGAATCCCTCCGCAGGCCTCTCGAGGATGATAGCGGAAAAACTCATGGTTTTCAAAGACTTTTCTCCGATGGTCACCGTCTCGTGTCTTTGCTTTGCGGCTTCATTGCTAACCGAAGTAACGTCGAACACAGCGATCTGCTCGATCATGCTGCCGGTCGTCGCCCAGATCGCCGTGGCCATCAGGTGAATTTGAATTTTTATTTATTCATCTGATTCACGGTGTCGATGTGGAGTCATTTACCAAGTCAGAAATCCGCCCCCTGTAACAATGCTCAGTCATCGAGACGCAGCATCGTTGATTTTGTCTCCTCATCTTCAGGGTAAACCCGATTTACTTGATGATGCCGATAGCCATCGCTTGCTCATTTTCGTTCATGCTACCTGCGGCAACTCCCGTGAATGCCATCGTTTACGATCTCGCTCATATGAATATACCCCAGATGGTAAGAATGTCATCTCTGGCAACGGCATTCCTCGATCTCTCTGTCGGGAGACTCTTACAGAGTCGTTCATCTCCGGACGGAGTTTTCCCCATTCCCTGTCATGTTCAGACGACGAAGAAATTCGACTGACGAGTGAGCCATTTTTTTTTCCCAGGCTCTCCCAGGAATTTTCATGAACTGCATCTGCGTCGCAGTGGAGATCCTCGCCATCAACTTCTACGGGACACATGTATACGGCCTCGATACTTTCCCCGCTTGGGCCGAAACGAACAATGTTACAATAATTTCTTCCTAGTCTCTCCATGGAATTTCATCACACAAAATTACCATGGGGGCCTTGAATTGTCGGCGCTTTCAAACATCAGTAGCTCCAAGTCCATGCTTCGCCCTCTGTACTTCCTTACGCATCGAAGAGCTATAGATATCGTCACAGTCGAGAGACGGTGGGTACAGGGGGTAGGGGAATGACTCGGGAACCGATCCAGCGAAGGTTCGACTGACAGAGAGTCTTCGATTCTGATTGGTTTTAGGAACCTCTCGAGCTTCATATTTGGAATTTGTACGACACGACGAGCGAACTCATAGCTTTGCTTGATAATTCGGGCTGGCATTACAAGGCGCGAAACTACAGCTCATTCCGGACAACCTATCCCAAAACTCGAACGGGAAACTCCCTCAACAAGTTTGGAGAGTTTTCTCTCATGCCTGATACCATGCACAGGTCGGAGCAACGTGATCGAGAAAAAATTACTTCGGATTAGCCAATCATCGAGTTCGCGAGAAATGCTCAGGAGCTCTATACATATACGCTCAATCAGGGGACAGGGTCATGATCGTGGATGGTTGTTGCCGCGAATCATTGGGAACGGGACTGCCGAGGGGTAGGGCACCACGAAGAGCGCACATCGATCGATGAACCGGGGCTCGCTCGGAATATGCTTCGATAAATCAGAGATTAGAGGGTCATTGGAAGACGATTTGGCTCGTCAATGATCGGTGAAGCGTCAAGGAATCTTTCGGATCGAAAGAGTTGCTGACTGGCTACTCAACACACCGCGCCATCGCGGCGATTGATCAGGGCCACTCAGAGGAAACAGAGGAAGCGCCTTGTGGAATGGGGGACGTCCCGATGTTGTCATCGGTTGCGGGTGAATAATTCTGGTTCCATCGTGATTCGACGACTGAATAAAGAGCAGCCAGAATTCTTTCGATGAGATTCTACTCATTTTTCTGCTAGCGCATTGAGGTTAAGAGGAGCACCCGTGTCTGCGTAAGTAATAATTAACTATGATGTATAGAAACAAGAAATGAAACAGGGGTTTCGTATTTCCATAATCTCCGGGTGGAATACATCGAGGTCTCCCAGACGATGCTCCGAATAACTAGATTGAGGCTGAAAACTCCGATATGCTCTAGACTCTAACCCGGCGATAGAGAACACAAAGGTCCCAAAATGATCGGGAGTCGTCATTCCACAGACCGTGTGCCAAGTTCGGGCTCCTGTTTCCGGGGAGACTCTCATATTGTGGGAATAGATACATCAGTGAACCACTCCGAATAATTGAGATCTGGCAACAATGGATCCGTGACGTGAAAGTATCGAGGCTCGTCTGGGCCCGAGGCGAATTTTCCAGGCGATCGTCGCAATGGAATCTGGTATTATCTTTGATGCCCTTAGAAGAACACGAGGTTCACGACGCTCCCACAGTCCACAGGGGTCCCCGTGGTGGCGCAGTCAGCTAGCGCTCCGCCGCTCCGTCGCTGCTAAGCTTCAATGCGATCGGAACCACAACAGCCCTTTCAAGATGTATCGCGGCGTCCCGCAAGTATCGCTGACGCGCATTGACGACTGGGAATAGTCGGAGGTCGCGAATAGCTCGATCCAAGAACTTCATTCCGTTCCCTTCGTTCGTCCCGACTATCTTCGTAGCATCACGTCCTGAATCTCTGCATTCGACAGGTCAGGCAGCGGAGCCTGTCGACAGTAATTTCATTTGCAGGAGTGGCTGCGCCTTCGAAAACGTCCAATATTCCTTGGTCGGATATCCATGTTTCTGGCAACGTCATATGATACCAACTCCCCCGAAGTAGAACCGATCGAGACTGCAGTAATTCCGGATACGTGAATACGTGAATTCCGGAATCGTCCCGGAGGAAACCGTCACTCCGGTGGTGAGTCAGGAACTCAAGCCGCACTCGATGTTCCCGAGGTTCATTGCGCTCTCTCGAGTCGTTGGACGCGATTGGACACCAGGTCTCCACCACGGCACTCATCTGAGCGGAGCGTCGATCCGCTCTCAATAACGAAGCTCACAAGATGAGCCGAAAACCAGCGGAAGATAAAATCCTGTAAGTTCCACCGCCTCCACCCTCAGCCACCGACCAGATCGCGTGATTTTGAGAAAGTTCCCGCGACAGGATCTGGATTCACTTTCGCTATTTCATCGCAGTCCGAAGACCCCGAATCGCTTGGTGAGTCCAAAGAATATCAGAGAAGATGACAAGAGCACATCGAGTGACACGAAAGCCCCCATACCGAAGGAGCCTCGTACATCATTCGTTCAAAACGAAGGATTCAAAAAGATCTCGGCGCGTTCGCCGCCAAACTCGAAGATTGAGTGCGCTGCGTCAAAGGGGAAATCCCTAGAGGCCATTTTGAGAAAGACTCAGACCCAACCGCCCGACCCGCGTCCCTGCGACAAGGTACTCCGCGATCCGATCGTCAGCGGCCGTTGATCATTCCACGCGCACATGAGATAGGCTCGCGTCCTCCTCGGATCGTGACATGACCGCGACAGTTTTCGATCCCAGGTTTCATTCCGAGCTTCGAGCGTCAAAAGCACCGAGCTGGATGACGCTGATCCCGAGCCTCTGATTTGCGACGCGGACGATATTTTCTCTCGCCGAGGCAGTTTTAGAATCAGGGCCGACGAGAGCGAGCGCTTGCTTGCTCAGGAACAGATGAAGGCCCTCCGTGGATGTGAGTCGCTACAACGTCCTCAGAGCACACACGATGATTCGTGCGCCCTGCGACAGGATTCAGGTATCTGGGAAATCCTCATCCCGAGATCTCTCGCGATATTCCAGTGTCGCATAAGAACGTGCTGACCGATGATGACATGAGACGTCTCGAATTCATCGACGACCACAGACAGCACTTCATGCATATGGATCCCCGGAAACAGTGAGTTTGCCGCTCCCTTCATCTTCTCACGCAGACTCGGAATTCCCCATATTGAGCTGTGGGAGCCACTCGCCCCTCGAGCCTAGGAACGGAAATTCACGCCTTTTCCCTAGGAAACCCTCGAATTCTGATGACGAAGAAGACATCTTCAGTCGTCGAGGAAGTTTCAAAATGAGAGCCCAAGAGGCCGAAGAGATGATAATGGCAGCAAAGAACGCCCAACAGGACGAGGCTTCGGAACAAGGTCGCGACATGAGACTTTATCGCTCTCTGAACGAGCTCGCTCCTCTATCCAGGAGAGCGCGTTTCCCCACAACGCGAAATTCCTGGGGGAATTCGCAGAAATCTTCCGCAATCTGATGACAGGATTCTTAACTCAGGTAAACAAGTGAGCCCGATGAAAGCCATTTCACCAGTGAGGATCAAACGCAAAAAACGTCCACTGATCGCGAAACAGTGCAGAGCGAAAACGACGAAGGGCGATCAGTACCGCCCGACCGCGACTGTGACAGGTTCGAATAAGTGAGAGGCATATCATTACGTTCCCGGCACGGAGCGTGACTCTCAACATCCGGAGAATTACCTTCTTACCTTACTCTCCATCGTAGTGCAGCTCTCCTCGAGAGAGCCCGAAGAAGCCGAGAGCGAAGATTGCTCCACTACCTGTACATGCACTGCCAGTCATGCATTGGCCGTAGAGATCGAATTCACCATCGGAAAATTGGAGCGGCTCACCGCAGATCTGCAGAAAGCTCTTGGTCGCGATCGATCGAAAGATTCCGATGCGAGAGCTCTCAGTATTTCGGAAGAGCAGATGGAACAAACGAAACGATTGAAGAGGCTCTTCGACGCCTTCGCACGCGAGCGGCTGCGAATACCGGATAAACTGCGTATGGGGCTCTCAGATATTATAAGCGCTTGAACCACATCAACGTGTTTCGCTGTATCCATCTCACGATTCAGGCGGTTTATGCTGGATCTCGATGATTATTATCTCTTCCTTTTCCTCTCAGGAGCAAGACCGTTACCTGCAAACATGAGCGACTTGCAAGTTGAGAATCGGGTAGCTTCCCACATGAGTAGGGATTTCCAACGCGGCACGACAGAACCCGGGAACGACGCGAACGCGGCTGATAAGACACTCGCAAAGAAAAACGAGTGAGTTCAGGTATATCTCTGCCCTGAGTCAGGACTGGCCGACCCTCAGAGCATCATCCCGTTCCTTCGATTGAATCAAATCGTATCTACGGAAGGGAAGTCCCGCGTGGTGATCTTGACAGGCGACTCTTTCCAGCAATGTTTCGTATGCGATCGTGATTCTCATTCCGAAATGACAGGCGTTTGTCCGGAGTTCTCCATCTTCATCATCATAATAAATATCGGTGGATTGCCTTGCGTCTACGAGAGCGTGCTTGAATGAATCTCATGCGAACGACATCAGGATGAAATTTCTGTCCAGGACGGGTAGGAACCCGCGAGCGAGGCGGCATAGGAGCCTCCGCTCCCGAACCAGAGGAGGAATCCGTGGACGCAAGGTTTTCCCACATGGTTCTTGGCCTTGTCGACATTCGAGGGTAAACTCGTTCGTTCTCTTGATTCGCAGCATTTCTCCCAATAGTTTCAGAGCAGAATCTCACGTCGGACATTATCAGCATAGTAGGTATTGAGATAGTCGGAATCGCGGGTATTTCCGATGATTAACGAGGAGTTGGAGCCCAACATCTTTCATTGTTCCTGGACGCATTCGCAGTTCTCGAACGATTGACGTATATAAGGGAAGTCTGCTCCTGTTCTCTTCCGGAACGATGAGGCACAAGGAGGGTCGATCGATTATTATCGTCTTCGACGGCGCATTCGCGGCGCTAATCAATCTAACAGCGGCGGCAGTCGCTGCCGCTGAATCGGTTCCCTTCTCGTCGATAGTTATCTGGAATGGAGACATATTCTTTTCACCCCTAGGAGTCTCCCAACGCCAAGGCATGAACAATAATTAGATTGGTATCGAAACGCGAGAAATCGGGCTGCAAACCCAGATTCCAGTGATGACGACTCGTACCGTGGCTTTGTGGACAATCTTTGAAATTCGCACACCTCTTCCCTGGACTTGATCACTGTGGATATTGCCGAATCCCGCATCGGTCGCAAACGCGAGAGGCATACAGAGACCCGCGAGCGTCGAGCCGAGATCGAAAACAGTTTCGACCCGAAACTGTGGCATGGTGAGCTCTACCGGTTCCGACTCGAGATCCTGAATGGATTCTTCGATTTTCGTCCAAGTAACATGAGACTCGATCCATTCCGACATGTTTTGTGCTCTCCTCCAGGCAGAATGATGACCATCGAGGTCGAATTCGAGGAGTTAGGGTTACCGACAAAAGGAATTTCGATGGGGGTGGATTCGAGCTCGTCGGACTGGCTGCTCCTGTATGAGTTTGTCGAGTTCATCCACTGGGGTTCGCCGCCGCCGCTGAAGGTAGATTAAGAACCTCAGATAGCATTCCGATGTCCAAAGTCGAATATTTCGCTCAGGGATGCAAAAACCGAAATCCTTGCTTGAACCCTCCCCAGAGGGATGAGGGTCCTTCGACTGAGCGAAGGAGAAAAGGAGGTTGCTCTGCCGGTCGGCCGAGCGACACTCACCTGGCTGGACCTCCGAAATAAGGGGGAAAGGTTCACCTTCTTCATTTGTTTTTGCCAGACCCCTCTGAAATAGAAAGCATTCACGAGAGCCAATATTGTGCTCGACTCGAGGGGCTCGACGAGCATCTTGCGGATCAGGTCATTTGTATGTCGCGCCACGAATTCATTTATCGCTTCCCGGGTCGCTCGTTTCACGCCTGCGGAGAAAACCTCTCACGATGGCTACCTTACCGAAATTACTTTGTGTCGAGAGACCTCTTCGTTTATTAGTAGATTTGGAGCAATATCGATGGTGAGGTTCTTTGCGAGGGGAATCCCGATATTTACCGGAATCCATCGAGAGTCGAAGATGTCTTCCACTTCAGATGTCTTTCACTAGGAAGTCCCCGCTTGGAGGCTGCGACTTGTTCGCGATTCGCTTGCGATATAATGTACCCGTCCCTGGATTCCGCGCCGGTCTTGACCGATATCTAGAAATGATCATTTCACAAACTGGATCGGCGTCTACACGTACGCACTGCTTGAGCTAGAATTCGGTAATTTATTGCGCGCAGCGAAGGGTGGGATGTGGGATGTGATGCTTGGCCGTACCGAACTCGAGCTCTGCTCGTAGCCTCTTTTGATGTCTTCAACGGAAATCTCATCGAAACCCAGGGGTTGCTTCTGGGTTTCACCTAGGGAAAACTCGAAGATTCACGGGGTGGTCCACGGACTGATATTAGAATCCATCTGGCAAGGGATAAAGGAATGGCGGCGACGGCACCTACCTTGAGCTCCGAGGAGGCACATGCCCAGCGCAGATGAGATGCTGGATGCCGAAAATATCGAGTTGACGTTGGCGTCGTATCCCAAATTTTTCTTCAGAAGTCGGATACTGAAGTCTCCAATGGCCTCGTTGAGCTGAGGAGGATATCGGAGCAGATGCGATATATGATATTTAAATTCCTATTCCGAGTCCCATGCGAGACGTTGACTTCGAGGAAGGGGAAGAGAAAAGCCTGAGGAAGTTCCTGCCCGAAAGACGATAGCACGATCAGAGCGAGAACGAACGGGGACCGCACTGCTGCTGAGCAGGTACTGCTTCCGCGGTCTGAAGCTAGCTCTCTAGAAGTTTATTCTGACCGACCATTTGCTCGCGAAAGAGCGATCCCATAGCTTCTGACGGAGCTTGTCTACGGAAGTCGACCTGGACTAATTGCGTTTCTATGTGGCTTTTGTTTCGCCTCGAATCCACATTCCACAGTCTAGTAAGCGAGCGGTGCATGGACGTCTTTTCTCACACCGTTTCGATCGCAGCTGACGTAATAGGCTCTGAGGAGGGCTTCCAGCACTAGATTTTGTTCATCCTTGTCGGCTCGTCTTCGCTCCTCAGAATGGATATTAGGTTCTGATATTTTCGCTCGACAAGCGGGAAAAATTGATTGAAGAAAAAAACCATCCGAATCTGCGGAGACTGCGGCTGCACTGTGTACTACGGTTTTCACCACTTCAAATCCGTGAATCGAATGTATCACACATAGGTCTGTATACTAATATTGTGACCGTAGCCATCGGTGCCGCCTTCCCTGCAATCTCTCCTCATCGAACACGCGTCTCTGCGCTGAGCTACTGCGAAGAGCTACGGAGGTAGTCATCGGAATCCAATCCGTCGCTGTTGGAAATATTTCTCGAAAATTTGTGTCTTTCCGGTCGAACTCAAGCCTTGTTCCGGCAGAGAATGAACACTGGATGAATATCTCTGCCAAATAATAATATACCGAGGGGAATAAAGGCAGGAATGAAACTCGTTAGGCTAGAAATTCGAGAGCCCGGCACTGCATCTTTAAGGGAATCGATGGAGCATTGATGTAGCAAGGATAGAGGCATATGAGGTGAGATATAAAGTTTATTCTACTCTCTCCGTGGCCACAACATTGAGCTCTTGGGGCACACGCAACGACGATTGTTCGATATCCCGTGGAGAAACGCACTTTCCAGCTCGGGAATCCACGAATTTTTCCAGATCTGAATCAGGATAATTCAGTCATTCCCTCGGACTCGACGTCCCGACAGCAATTCGCGGCGAATGGCATTCTGATTGAAAATGTTTCAGGGAACTCGCAACGAGGGTGGGCTTTTCCGATACTCAAGCCTGCTTACCTCCTTCCCTGAGGATCACGAGGGTTCCATTCACCGGGATCGCCGTTCCCACCACAGTCCCATTCGACAGGATCACGTGCACTGAGGGCCTGTACATCTCAATTGGTGACATCGTCTCCCTTTGGCCTTCATTTGGCTCGTTCCGGACGAGTTCCGGACGCGCGAACTCCGATCTTCCAGGCTCCAGCCCGCCTGCTTCGATCCTGACAGGTTCCACCTTGACGGGCTCGTGTCTGACCGATTCGACTCTCGGGGGTTCGATTCTGACAATTTCCGACCTGGCAGGTTCGACGCCGGCCGGCTCGAATCTGACAGGTTCGACTTTTCCAGTCTCTATTCTGGCTGGTTCGACCCTGGCAGGCTCGACTCTTGCGGGCGCAACCCTGACCGGTTCGACTCTGAGAGGCTCGATTCTAGAACAGCGATAGGAATCGAGAATAGAGGAAGGATCCGGGGAGCTTCCCTTTATTTCATCTCTAGGCCTTCTGCAAATTACCGATTGTGGTTGGCGATCTCGCGTTTCCTGAGCAAGTCTGCGAGATCATGAGGTTTCGGAGCAGCAGCTGGGGGCGGGGGGAGACCATGGTGCGTGGGAAAGCGTTTCTTCTGTCGAATGACCAATCCAGTCTGCGGGTCGACTCGCCAGCATCTGCCGATACGAAATCTCATGCGTCATGGGTGTTTCTCTTCTCTTTCCTCTATGGGCGAATATTCCTTCCTGACCGAGGGGAAGAAGTATCTAGTGAAATACCGAAATCGACCCACCGCCCATTCTGCTCATTGCATTGCAGCTCCGTGAAGCGATCCACTGAGTCGCATTGCGGTACAAAGCTGCCGACTGAGAGGAGTTCTTAGGTCACTCCACCTTGAAATCGCATGATTCCCGACACCGATAGGGGAATGAGTTAGCTCCCCGTCCGAGGAGCTAGATTGAGCTCACTCCTCAAAGAGATCGAAAGTCGCACCTTGTCTAGCCTTGTCTTGAGCTACGAGACAGTCACAGCCTTTTAGTCCTCGCGTCCAGTTGGTGAGCATACGCCCTTCGGCGGAACTGCAAGCGCAGAAATCCCATGCGAGACACTGCAGGGGATAGTAATCGATTCCGCTCGGGCTGCAATCAGGAACGAACTGGATTCCTGCGTCAGGCACCGGGAGGGCAGCCTTGTTCAGCGCGATCTGCCGATTAACCGCGCAGTTGTGATCGAGTTTGTACTGCGCTGGAAATTTGAACAAGTTCAAGAAGATAGGGTTATGAGGCTCACTTCCAACCCTACTTCATCTTCCCGAGCCTGATGCTCGCGGAGCGCTTATTCCGGACTTGTCAACTCGACTTCCGGACGTTTTACCTTTCGCCACCAGCGAAGAGCAAGTCAACTGGAAGAGAAAAATTAAAAGAACTCAGTTGCGACTCCAGCCGCAACCAGGACATCACGAATTAAAGGCCACGCCACCCACCGCGATTATCGTCCAGTAGTGCCACATGACTCAACGGAACCAAATGTTATCCTCTCAGCATCTTATAAACAGCTGAGGATGAGGAGCTGTTGATCGATAATCACTCAAAGTCATCTTGAGATGGAGTCGTGATCGGACTAATTGAATTAGCTCGCCCAGGTCAACGCTGCCTCCCCAACAATCATTTCCTTTGATCGAACGAGAAAGTGGCTGAGCGAGCTCATAGAGCTCGATCGGATGCTGATGTCCGGCTATCATGAAACTTTCCAGCGGAGGTCGGAACGCAGAGGGATCTATGTTTATGAATCCCCGGAATGGCACGGACCATCTCGAAATCGGCGGGTGGAGGAGGACACGGGATGGACGTAATATGGGCTCGATTTTTAAAGAAGATTCGGAGTTCTCAATCCGATGAGCTCGTCTCAGAAGCCTTGCCGTCATTCCGTTTCAGTCGAGCTCCGAATCTTCAGCCGGTATCTATTCGTTCTTCCGATGAAGCTGATTCGCAGCCTAGTCCAAAAGGGAGCGGAAGTCCCCAGATGATCAGAGTCGACGAAGGACCAAACTCATTATTTTCCTGATTTCGTCAAGATCATCACCATAGACTATAAATCACTCGATGGACATTTACAGTGACAGAAGCAATTTTCGTGGCTCACGATTCCCAGAATCAATTCTTAGAGACCCACGTATTCCGAGGTCCCTCCTGCTTGACCGAGAAAAGGGCTTGAATTCGAGATCTATCCGCGTTTTGTCGGTAGTGGAGCAACGTCTGCCACAATGGCCTTCTACGTTGCTATTGTGCTCCTTGTAAGTCCTGCGTCTGAGTTTGCAAATTTATCCTTGAGATTGAGCGAAAATTCGAACGTTCCCACGTATTTTTCAATGATCAACTTACTTCGCACGCAGGTAAAGCTTGGGATCATCGTCGATCAAGGTTCGTGGAACCGATCGGGACTGGGATCTCAGCCATTGAGCGGGATGGAGATTCACAAGAATTTCCCCTTGATTCTTCTCTCATGTCTTAAACCGGAATAGGTTGTTCCGAAACGGTATCATGAGGACAACGCAAGTCAGCGGAATGTTATCTCGGGCTTTTGAATTCTCGCACTCAGGTCACGCTCAAGGATGCTCCCTCCAACAATGTGCAGCGCTCTTGACCAGCATGACCCAACTTTGTGCCGAGAATGGGGAGGAACAGATCCAGGTGAATTGTGAGGACATCTGTCGAGAACTGAGCTCAGAAATGCCGCTCGTCTCGCGTCAAAAGGACCGCGAGCCACAGTATCAATTCGGCTCGAGGTCTGAGGAGGGATTCGGAGAAGAAGAAATGGTCAAAGTGCTCCAATTTCCAGACAGTTCTAATCGACCCTCCAGGATCTAATCGACCTCCCAAGGATTCCTCGGGAGATTCCAGAAAGCCATCTAGGGATCGGCTGAAGTAGGTTTTTCGATTCATAGCCAACAACGCTCCGATCTTATTCTCCTCTACTCTCTGAACTTGCGGAAAATTACCGGAGGCTCATCTCCTCAGCGCTTGGGATCGACCTTTCTCGTCCTCGGTCATGAAAAATCACGATCAAGGCTCACCGAGGGACAGTGACGAGAATCCTTTCGGTTAAGTTCGGATTCGAATCTCGATACGAATATTCCCTCGCGATGCCGACCGCTGATGCTTCCGATAACTTCCAGATGAAGAGATCCAATATGACGAATCGATTCCGCTCCACGGGGCCGACTGGATGGATCTGTTCTCGGTTTCAAGATTCGACATGGACCCTGACCCCATGTTCTACCCAGGTAAAGACTCTTCGAGAAAAAACAATTCTTCATCGAGTGTCTCCGCGGGAGGAAGAAACATTATTTAGCGATACGCATACACAATGACTCCGAATATTATATTCCATGTTATATTCCAGTCCTCGACGGAGTGAAGCCCGAGCCTCCGAGATATGGCCGCCCGTCCTCAAGAACAGATAGAAACAGACGACGGAATTCAGAATCATTGCGGGCTCGCTCCTTCGTTTCTTCGACGATACCTCAGCTTGCAAGGCCCGGCAAGCAGTTGTAGGAGCACAAACAGTGCGTGCGTCTAACTCGCATCCGTAATAATTAAGGCTCAATGGTTTACTACCCCGAGACGAATGCCTTTCGATCAATGAAGTTGCGGAAACCTACGGGAGCCGTCGTGTCCTCAATGATTGAATAATTACGAATACTCAGCAGGCGAACAGGGCAGTCGTTCGCAACGATTCTGTCGAGAATGCCTATTCGAAAAAGGGTTTGCTTCCTAATCTTCCACGATACTCGATTTGACTCCGCTCGACATTGGGGTGATAGGTGGAAGACGAAGTGGTTCTCAGCTGCCGCGAATGATTGGACTTTCGTCCGGCCGGGACGAGAAAAGCGGACGAATTGGCATCGAGCGGCTCAATTTCCAGCGGTCGGTTGATCCAGTTCGTAGGGAAATGATCCCGGGAGTAAAATTAGGGAGCGTCGATTGGGTCCTTATAAAGGGGTCTGCGCCATCAGATGCCATTTAATCCAGATCATAAGTGCTCCTGCTCTCGACATCGAGCACTCTGATTGTGAGATGATCCGCCCTCATTTTTCCACGGATAATTCGCTTCGAAGGGAAAGCAAGATAACTTATCCATCTCGTTTATGAAAACCAGTTTTATTTGCGATCTCCCTTAAATTGTGGTAGAGAAGTTTATAGTCTTAAATATCCGCGTATATTTCTCTCGTGCTCCGAGGCTAGATCGAAGGATGGTCTTCTGTACGAAGAGCTTCTCCTAATCACTCGTCATACTCGAATGGCTCCGGAGGCTCGGGCTCTTGTTCGTCTTGTGTGACGGACAAACCGCCGGCACTGACCGGCTCCACGAGTTCTTCCTTCACTTCCGCCTGCGTATCCTGCATGAGAATGATGCCTCCTATTGAAATGTCCTTCACCGGCCGGTATCTCGGAGCTTCGTGCATTTGGATGACTTTCAATTGAGGCCGAACGACTCGCGCAGGATTGCTGAGAATCTCGAAATTTGGTTCGGGCTTCTTCTCCTCTTCTTTTTTCGCTTCGACTTCGTCCTTCTTGGTTTCGGGCTTCGGGAGTTCGGGCTCTTCCTTCGCCTTGACCTCGGCCTTCACTGCGGGAGTTTCTTCCACTTCCATTTTTTCCTCTTCCTTTTCCTTTTCTTTCTGTTTTTTCTTGGCGGCGAATTTCGCTGTGATCGAGAGCACGGCGGTAGTGACCTTCTCCCTCTCTTTTTCCTTCTTCTCTTCCAGAGCAGGCGGGTAGGCGTAAGTCGATGGCTTCACGTTCGAGCGGTACTCCAGTCTCGGCATCGCTAGCTGCGAGTTCAATCCGATCACGCACGACGGTGTAAAGGCTAGAGACAGGAAATGGCTCATCGGGAACCAGTACCAGAACTGGGTGAAGCCCAACATACCGACGACACCGGGATAGTTCACGTGCCCGGTTCGCGAGAGCAAACCCGCGGTCACGTTACGGCCTCCCGCGTCGATGATGCCCTGGGCGAGAATGGCTCCGAACTTGGCCATGACGTCCTCGTGTTTGTCCGTGATGACTTTCTGGTAGAAGGCGCGGATCTCCTTCATCTTCGGGCAGACAGCTTCGCTCTGCTGGAGGAGGACGAGAGCTGTGGCTACCAGGGCACCTTGACGCACGAAGTTGACCGGGTCGTTTGTCATCGGCTCGAGAAGTGCGAGAGCTTCCTTGTTGCCGGTTCCCGCGCAGGAAATTCCGAGAGCCATCGCAGATCCGTATCGGACGTTCGGGTTATAGCTCTCCGACAGGAGGGAGACCACACTCGGACATTGCTCCGGTGTCCGGATCAGGAGAAATCCGAGAGCTTCAACCGCCGCTCGGCGCACGTCGTCGTTAACATCGGACACTGCGAAATGGAGCAGTTTCTTAATCGACGCGTTGTTCTCCGAGCCACAGTACGCCATCGCGATCGTGTGCATGGCCGATCTCCTCAGTAGGGGATCTTTATCGCTGGCGAGTGTGTCGATGAGGGCGTCGGCTCCCTCCATGCATCCGAACACGAGGAAAGCGATGCCGACGGCGAGACCACGGAGAATTTTCTCGTGTTGAGTCTCCTTGGCGTAGGCGACCATGTCATCGATGACTTGGCTGTTTCCTGAACCCAACATCACGAGACCCATCGCGATACCAGCCGCCTCTCCGGAGACCGCATCGTCCTGGTACAAATTGAATTTCAGCTGCTCGTAGACGTCTTGGCGATGGGTGCACATGGCCGCGAGACCGAGTCCGAGACATCCGCCGTGACGAATGACCTCGTTCGGAGCGTCTTTCAGTTGGTTCATGAGATAATCGATAATCGCTCCGCCGTGATGCGCATGGATCAAGCCGAGGGCGTAGAGTCCTCCGCCCTCCGTGTAGCCCGACGAGGTTGTGTTCTCCTTTGGAAGATAGGGCCCCATGAGCTGGAGGGACTCCTTCTCGTGTCCTTTGTGGATCACTCCGAGAGACGAGACCGCGGTGAACTTGGCCCAGTTGGTGGCCCGCGCGAGCCAGTCGAGATTGTCTCGGAGGAACGTGTCGGAAGTAGTTCCGCAGTGCATCAGAGAATTTGCGATCACAGTCGCAGTGTGACATACGCTGTTCCGAACGGCTTCTTTCGTTTGTTTCAGGATCAGGAGATCAGAGTGATTCGAACGAATCAGAAATTGGAGATGGAGCTCGATCGTAAGCTCTCCGGACAGTATCCGGATGAGTTTGTCCACTTGCTCATCACCGGTCTTCTGGATTTCGCCTGGTTTCAGCTTGGGTTTGTCCTCGCTGCCTTCGGCGACAGCCGGGGTTTCTGTGGATCGAATTTTTCTGGAATGAGTAGGTAGGCCAGAAAGTATGACGTCAGGTTGGGAGGCCTAACGACGTCATGGAAGTCCATTCTCGATTTTGTGCTTATATTGGTAATTCAACTCGAAAGGCTCCAAAGAACTGACCTGTTTTCGGGCCGACTATCTCGCGCAAGGAGTCGATCACCCTGAGTAGGAACTGCTGGATAGCGGACTCGTAGAGATCGAAGCTAATTTGGTAGGCCATCAGCTGATTCTCTTTCGAGCCACGAACCAGTTTCTCCAGGATCTCGGCGGAGAAGGCAGCGTCGTCGAGCGATATCAGGCACTGGATCATGTTGACGTAGTCGGGGGTTTCCAGATCTTGGTACAAAGTTATAAGAACTCGGAGAATCTCGTCTCGGAAGGATCGGTTCTGGGTTAGGGTCATCGCAATACGCAGACTGTATTGCAGCAGTTTCACCATGTCGTCCGATTGCCTGATGGCCTTCTCGAACATGTCCATTCGCCGAGTTTCGAGCGCAATTCCGATCGCTTGTCTGTACTGGCCGTGTTCGAAGCACCGGTCGAACATTCGATCGACGATCGCTTCCAATTGCGCGTTGATGGTGAGGTCCTTCTTCGCGACCTGGCTAAAAACGGCCTGTCGCATACTGATGTAGTCGTCGATCGCTTTGGACACGATTGTTTGCACGAATTCACTCGATGAGTTTATGTCAAACAGATCCCCTGCATGTAGAGCGAACTCCAAGGAATCTTTGAAGGATCCCAGGTGATAGTACACTTTCGAGGCGACAAGGGCCGCCAATTTCCGGTCGGGAAACTGCTGGTCTTCATAGAGAATCTCAATTTTTTCGATCGCCTCCGAAATTTCAGCCCAGAATTCATCGACGATATGATCGAGTTTTCGAAGAGCGAAGATCTTCAGTTCCGTCTGATTTTCGTCCAGCAGGGAGATGATTCCCTGAGCGGAGGTCAGGGGTAAGGTGCCCGCTACCATTTCAACTCGAACTTTGTTTCTTCGATGCTGAATATCACTGATAGCACTGAATTCCGTGTCAATCTGAGCCAGACACCAGTCGTCGGTCCGGCACAAACAAAAATCTACTGTATCATTGACAGGGCAGTAGTCCCGTCAGAGCAGACGAACAAATGTCATGGAAGCGGCTCTTTGCGGGATCGGAGCCTTCGAATTTCCTCCAATGCGGTGTCGTCCACGGAACACCGAGCGGGGGAAATATCCCTTTCAAAAACTAGTTTATCGTCGCTCGATCTTCTCACCCGAGATCCGGACTCCGGGGGAAAACCCCTTGTGAACAGAAAGCAGGGAGAGTCGGATCTGTTCCTATCCGCCGGTTCACGCACGTGTGTTTGCAAATAAAGCTGCAGATCCTCCTCTTCGCGGTGATCCCCACCGAACACTTGACAATGTTAAGCATTCGAAATTTTCGCGGATGAAGTCCACGAAGGTAGGAAGTGGGATTTGAGCGAATTCCAATCCGAATGCGGATAGGCTCCCTCTGGTCACATCAGCTTCCAGTCATACCCTCCGGAGGGTTTTCTACTTCGAAAAAATTACCCTGGGGTCTCCAAGATTCCGTCGAAGTCCATCATTATTCCAAATGAGAGGGGAAACGACTCCCCCGAGATTCTCATGCGCGCCTGAATTCCAGATGTCCATCGGGGCGGGAAGCCGCTCCGAAGGAGCCGAGACGGCAGCCTCGAAGAATGAAAGAATCTGTGAAACTGTGGGTGGAGAGAGCTCCGGCGTCTGAGAATGGCTCTGTCAACTCTCTGGTGACCCTCAGGCTCGGGGCTCACATGAGCGCTCGTCACACGTCATATCGATATTTTATCATCTGCGAGGTCTCATCTGATTCCGCAGGAGCCTTGTCTGGTGGATGCATGTGTTTCTCTTACGGTATCATACGATAAGGATCCTCGGCGAGCTCAGGAAATCGTGGGAGCCCTCGCTCCGAGCCAGACACGAGAACATACATCCGAGGAATCTGGAGGCCTCTACATAGGGAGAGGTACCTCTGGATTGCGATGGCGGTCAGCTTCCGAGCGCTGCTCCGACATCAATTCACACGATTTTCTCGAATAAGTGAATGAGAAAAAGCTATGCGACCAGATTACGAATTACGAGATTACCCATGGGTGATGGGTTGAGTTTTCGAGGCTCCATGGCTCACAAACGACGAAGCGATGAGGATGGGTCCTCGTTCGATAGGGCTAACGTCGATCACTTGATCGAGCAGCTTCTGGCGGTTAAAGACACCATGCCCGGAAAGGGCGTACAGTTTACGGAGTCTGAGGTATCGATTTTTCGAGCAAGTTCCGCTTTCATGCTATCTGTAATCCTGAATGTCAGGCCACAAAATACATCCTTCGATGCAACGCAGCTCGACGCCCTATGTCAAGCTACGGAGGAGGTTCTCAGAAAAGAGCCCATGCTTCTGGAACTCAAGGCCCCGATCCAGATATGCGGCGACGTTCACGGTCAATTCCATGATCTTCTGCAAATTTTCACAATCGGAGGCTTCCCGCCAGAGAGCCAGTACCTCTTCTTGGGTGAGAATCGAGATGACTCTATCCATGGGTACTCCGCTCGGAGAAATTACATGATCTCCATTCTGCCGATACCTGTCGACCACCCGCTGCTCTCAGCGGCGAGCAGTCCAAATTCTACGGAAGCATCGATTCCAGGTGACTACGTCGATCGGGGCAAGCACAGCATAGAAACAATCACCTTGCTGTTCGCGTACAAAATTAAATATCCAGATAAGCTTCACCTCCTTCGCGGAAATCACGAAGCGTCGAGCATATCGCGACTGTACGGATTTTACGACGAATGCAATCGTCAGTACAGCGTAAAGCTGTGGAACACGTTCACCTACACGTTCCAGTGGCTTCCAGTGGCTGCGGTGATCGATGAAAAAGTGAGAAGACGAGCGAGATCTTCGAGATTGAAAGACATCTTCGAACCTCCCGCGACTCTGCTTCCTCGAATAATGATCGATTGGACGCTCCGAACAGATCTTCTGCTGCCATGGTGGTCTGTCACCAGAACTTGCCAGCTTGGAACAAATCCGGAAGCTGAAAAGACCTGCTGAAGTACCCGATGCGGGTTTGCTGTGCGATCTGCTGTGGTCGGATCCTGAGAAAGATATCATGGGATGGGCCGATAATGATCGCGGAGTATCTGTTGTCTTCGGTAAAAGTCATGAAAGTTCACCCTCCCTTGGAGGAGGGTGAATGCTGAGACGCGATAATCCCCATTGGGGATAACGGGGCAGTCCTCCGATCAGCCTCAGAATTAGAGCGGAGGGAACTCTTTCCTCAGGTGCTAATATCGTCGAAGATTTTCTCACAAAACAAGATATGGATCTAGTTTGTCGAGCTCATCAAGTCGTCGAAGATGGCTACGAGTTCTTCTGCAAGAGGAAACTCATAACGCTATTCTCAGCTCCGAACTATTGCGGATATTTCGACAACGCCGGTGCCTTCATGGTAATGACCTCGTACGGGGGTTCACGTCGATCAGGGCATCCTCCTCATAACGAACCATGGTTGGACGCAGCGTGTCTCGGCGTTCCACACGTGACCGGGAAAGCTTGAAGACATCCCGCGTAGAATTCATTCGCAGCGACCCGAGAAACTTTTAGGCTCCTCCCTTTCTTGGGAATCGATCTCGAGTCATCTCGATCCGAGAATTGTCGTCATGCATTTCTCTGTCGCTTTCAGAATGTTGACGAGAACCTCTGCTGTCGATTGAAAATACTCCGAGCTCGGAAGAAGAAATTGGCGAAGAACTCTTGAAGCGAACCGACACTCCATCTCGCACCTCATCTCAAAACTACTTCTGAAGGTTTTCGCGAATTGCGAGCGTGATGTTTCAATCAGCCCATAATCAATACTTATTACGGATCGATTCGTTTGTCCGAATTCTCCAAATAAATCGCAACACGAGTCTACATCCATTCTAGCAGAGCTGAGGTCAGTCCCTGCCTCGGGCACCTTTCGTGACCTAATAAGGATAGCTACAGCGAGAGAGCAATCAGTCATATAAGGTCGACTGGATAGATCGAGATACGGGAGATTTCTGACCCGAAGTAAACGAGTTTTGCTAGCCCAAACAAACATTGATCATTATTCGCAAAACGTATCGAGTGATTAGCCAGGACTCGTTGCAGAATCCGAGTCTTCTGCCTGTCTCTGCGCCAGAAGATTTCCGACCGGATTGACCACTGCTCAGTTATCTGGCCTCCGCTCACCTCCTCGTTCTTCGGGGCGGAAATTCGGTCGTGAACCTCTCGGTCCCGGGAGAACTCTTCCGTCGCAGAGTGACTCCAACGCTGGCCCGTGTTACTCGCTGACAGTCATATCGGACTCCTTCTCTGGGTGATGTCATTTATCCGTGCATTCCTACCGATATCTGCTTCTAGGTGGAGACCGACGTGGATGCTCCGACCTCGCTTGCACAGTCCTCCATGAAGTCAGGATCCGGAAAAACGGACATTACCCCGAGAGCATTATAGAATCATTTTTGCGCCTTTTCCGAGTAGTTCTCGGTATTCGCACGTGGCTGTGACGAACGGAGGCATGTTTACGAGAAGCGAGAAGGTCACACGACATCGGACGGCTCCTATGTCCCCTATTTCGAAGTTTCGGAGTCTCGGAGACTTTCTGGATGCCCCAATGATTTCGGTTTCCGGTATTCGGTCGGCTTCGGATATGGACGGGCTCATGATTGGCGTCATTGGATAGCATATGACACCACAGATCGAATGAAGGCGATTGAACATCGATGACGGGCGTCAGGCTCGTATGAATCTAAGCGAGAAACTCGAGAGGGGCAGGAACAGCGCGTGTTTTTATCAAATCATTCCCGCAAACGCTCAAAGTTGATCGACGACTGCGGTGAATAGTGGGACGAAGCTCTCTTCTTGTCGTAGGATGATCATGGCCACGAACGAACGATCGATTCTCAGGCGAACTTCCGGAATGACGGGCATCGGCATGCTCATGAGCATTATCGTCGCCGTACTTGCCGCAGCGGCTTCTGTTCCGAATTCATCGACTTCGATCTGAAATTGTTTGCGAGGAATTGTTTTGCTCCACAGTGCTGAAGAGTTTTTTCCCCGCGATCGGGACTTGGGATTTTCTCAAGGAACGGAAAGCCATCACGCCCCCGTGACACTCAGTTCCCGGAGTAACACCACGAACCTTTGCTTTATGCAGGACCTCACTCAGGTGAAGGTTTCCCGCGGACTTCTCGGCCATTTTCGAGAAATTCGCGCGCGCCGTGAATGGTATGTCCATTCCTAGATCGGTCAGCATGTTCTTGAGAGAAAACTCCGATTCAAGAGAGAACTTCGGGAAAGTCAGATCCACTTTCTTCCTCTTCATGGATCGGATAGTGGCGTCTATATTCGACCACGTGAAGTTATCGTCCTTGAGCCAGTCCACGAATTTTCCGTTCAGTGATTCGTCGGGAACGATGAACAACATCGACGTCCGTACCGGAGAATTCTGACGGGAGGCGTAGGGGACTTCCACGAATTGTGCATTCAGTTGTTCTGACGCGGCATGTTTGAAACTTTTGGTCAAACCAATCCAATTCGCTGTTTGGTTGGAGCCACTGCAATTAAGGAAATTAGCGCCTTATCTGCTGTCGACGCGTCAGTCTCGAAAAACTTGCATGGACACACGCCCGCCTCGTGGTACGCTAACCCTGGGAATGCGTTGAATCGTTTTGGAGACGGTCGCTCTTCCATTTTCTTCTTCCAGGTTCCCTTGAAGTAGAGCGCGTTCACTAGAGCCATCACGGTGGTTGAAGGCAGCGGCTCATCGAGGAGTTTGGGGATGAGTTTGTGTGTTTTGTTCGATACGAACGAATTAATTTCCTCCTGCACCTCGGGCCCTCGATCTGTGAATGGAGAATGTCCGGGCCGGCATAAGGGGCTGGAAGCAGTGTCTTCGCAACAAAATCATCACCGTCCTCATCAAAGCTGACGGGGCGTGGAGAGAGTTCACCCGCTCCAAGGCTTCAATGATCTAGAATCGAGCACCTAAGCAATACCTACCGGTCAGCAAAGCGATTGTACTCACGAGTGAAATTCACCGGGGTTGCATTGGCGTGGAAAATATTCCGCATGCGTTGACGATAGCTCTTACTCAAGGAGAAAGACTCGTCAACGAAAAGTTGATTCGCTGCGCTGAGAACGAAGCCCTTGAGCCCTTCGTCGGGTTGCGCGAACGGCGTCAGCTGTGGAGAGCATGTTGTGAGCCTTTTTCCTGCTGTGTACAGGTCGAGAATAACGGAAAAGGTTTCGAGCCTACTTCGGTCACGCTATCGCTGAATCCGTCTTCAATATCGCTTATATTAGCATCAGCGAGTCCAAGATTTTCTTTCATGTTGAGGAATGTTTCGCCTGGAAACCACCGACAAGAATAATTCCGTGAAGAGTTTGATGCGGTCGGAGATTCAGAGATCCAGAATACGTGCCACGAGCGGATGGAATCGCTAAGGAAACCGGACCTTTAGATCCCAGGAGGCACATGCCGAGGGCTGTCGAGACGCTGTATGCGGAGAAAACTGTGTTCCTTCCTCCTCCTTCTGCGGTTCTATTGAGCATCCGTATGCTGAACTCACCGATCGCATTATTTATCTTCGGCAAAGACCCATGATTTGTTGAGCAATCTTAGGCTATTGTTCAATGATCAGACCATGAATCGGAGGGTCGACGAGCCCGATACTGTGGCATAAACAAATCACTCACAATGTCTACTTGCGCTGTCGCGGTCCCCGCCATCAGAAACAATAAGAGACTCTTCATCTCGGGAACGCAGTCGCAATTGATTCCTGGGAAGGAAACGGAAATCTTCCGAGCCCAACGGTAGGGTTCCCTGGAATAATCCTCGCGAATTCAGACCTGGCAAGCTTTCCTTCATGTACCTGAATGAAGCCCACCTCTCCGTCCAGATGCTGGCCGCGTACCCTAGCGAATCCTCGCGGTTCGTTCTGGAATATCCAGCGCTGCTTGCCGCCTCGAGGAACAATCGACCGGCAGATTCTGAAATCGAGAGCATTAGCTCGGTGATACCAGAACTAGGGAGAGGGAAGCATGGGAGGGAGTGCAGAGGGAAGAGGAAGTTGGCGGAATCGAAGAACACGGTGTCGATGCCGCACGGTGACGTTTCATAGATTCCCATTGACCATAGGCGCCGTCTCAGGAGCGAGTAAGGACCGTCCTCTCTCGATCAGCGCTTCGCTCTGGGATAACCCTTTTGATTCGAGTCTGCCGAATTTCGGTGCTCTCATAAGCAGGGCCACATCTAGCGAAGACTCTCGTGGGGGAGAATCCCGAGATCCGAGGAAGCATCTGACGCCTAGTAATTTCAGGAAGGCCTCTAATATGGCGTCGGGCTTCAAGATCGCACCTGCTTGAAAGGGTGGTTGCTCGTCCAGCCCAAAAGGGCAGCTTGATCAATCCACTTGAAGCATGACCGCTGTCCCGCCTTATCTGGGACCTAGAGATACGGAAGAATACTCGAGATCGAGGAGACCTTGCTGAGTATTCCGGTATCGCTCGACATCTCGATCTCCGCTCATTCATGCTTGGCGTTCCGGAGCTTCCGGGAAATTTTCAAGCGGGACATCAGACTTTGGGCTCTCCGAAATAAGTTTTTCTGATCGAGCGGAACCAAGCTCAGTCGAAGGTCCACTCGAAGCACGGAAAAGTCACGAATCACGATTAATCGTCATTCATGCAGGTTTTATTGGGCGTAGGCGAACACGAAGTTGTCATAGATGCCTTCTACCTGCTCAATCCGACTGAACGGGAATCAGACACTCTCTTGGTCCGTCGCAAAGCCACAGGACCGAGCCCCGTCCGATGTCGAGGTGATTTGAGGTTTACCTGATCGTCTCAGCGATTCCACCCCTTCGTAGGAATCGCGACATGGCCTGTAGTCCGATCCCGTTGACTACCAAGACTCCGATGGATTTTATGCGGGAGAACTCCGAATAATGAACAAGGGTGCCCGATCGGGCGAACATACTCAGGCGTCATCAGTAGACACTTGCTTCCGATCCACAGAAAGTTCTGATGGAAACCAGCTACGCGAATTCACGTAGCACAGCGACTGACTGAGTGCTCGTTTGAAGTGCGATCGGTCTTATGCTTTGAAGAGAACGCCGCCTGATCGATCATCAGCGTTATTGAAGTGCAATAGAAGTCGAAAAAATTAGCTTGAATTCGCGGTTTTCGGGGTGATTCACCAAAACCGTGATTCCCATCGATAGGCAGTCCCTCGACTCCAAGAAGTTCCCGGAAATTACTCAGAATTAAGAGTTGCCGGAGGCACCGAAAGGTCGTCCCAAAATTCCATTTCAGGCTAGCTCGAGACCTCGGGAGAGTATCAAGGAGGGAGAGGATTTTCTTTCGTCCACGGAACGCGAATTCGCTGTGGACTTCTTCCGCGGCCAGCGATATCGAGATGGACTCAAGATGCTCAGCGGAACTTTCCATATCCTCGCGGGAAACCAAGTCATATCCTCTCAAACCCGCGCTGCGAGTGCTGAGGCATCGCTCCGGCGATTGGCATTCCGTATTCGGTTCACGATCAATTTTCGGTTGCATTGGTGGAGATCGATTTTGAGCGATAGGGTCGACTGTGCGGAATCCCAGAGCTTGCGCATCTCCATCGCGGACACGGAAAATGCGGGGAAGGAGCCAATCAAAGGATGCTGCTCCGCTCAGTGAGGAGCCCCGCTGTCCGAAGCTGGCCCATCATATCGAAGACGACTTCTTCTAGTCTCCCGATATATCGAGTGGGTTTGATTCATTGAGAGTGCGTCTCCCTCTAGCACCTGAACACTTGGCTTTTTACTGGGACAGGATGATAGCCGGGAAGCGGCGGCTTCCTCCGCAGCTGAAGGCGGGTCTCGCGAGGATCCCGTCGCAGTAGTGCATTGGTTCAGAAGTCAGCACTCGGTGTTCGCGTAATCGGCGTCGGAAGTCAGCTCATTGTCAGTCCAGAAGAAGTTCCGAGCTGGAAGCGATAATTTCCATCATGGAGCCTCGCTTACGAGCGAAACGATTTTTGACTCATAAATGCTCATTTCTGGACTAGGCGATTAAGAACCCCATCGGCCCCGTCAGCGAGGGGTGTGGACCCGCTGCAAGAGATCATTTCCATGGGTGAATATGAAGAAATCTTTCTACAGCTCTTAGACTCAGTGTCCATTCCAGAGTTTCCTCGTCAACTTTTAACAGCGCCAGCCCCGGAAATATTTTTCAGGGTCAATCTGGACGACAATGAACTCGAATAGAGGTCTCGAGACCTCAATCGGTACAGAGTACCCCTGGGATACTCCCTCGTCCCCCTCCTAATGCTGATAGAGTAAGAATAGTCTCCCAAATTCTCTGCAACTCGATCCGCCAATTAGTCTTCATACGGATGTCCGTCGCACCAACCATACGTCGTATCCATTCACTCTAGCGATTCTTCGAATCATTTGAGGGCGCCACATCCATGCGTGGAGGCGATTCTCTCCGGAATCTGTATGTTCGCACGAAGTTCATTCATATTCCGGATTCCGGACCTCGTACGAAGGAAACGATCAGAGAATTCGAGACCCTATCGATGCTCCGAATCGTAACAGCCATGAGGAGCATGTGTCGGTACATATCATCTTTCTAGATGCCTTTTCCTGCTTGTGACAGCTCCTCCGTGACGGAGGAATAAAATTCCGGCGCGAGCACTCTGTCCTTCCGTGAGCATCAGTTCTTTTGTGCATAGACAGGCTTTTTGAAGAGCCTTTGAAACGACGGTCCTCAAAGCGGTCCATAAAGACCCTCTGCGAGGACTGGAATACCCCGTCGTAATTTTGCCCGCCGTCGAGCGATGGTGGAAGTTGTGTCGAATGCTTCACTTGATCCTCATCACTCGATTCGGGCTCGATTCCTCGATGCGAGGATGGGATGTGATTATGTACCTTAATATACTTTGAGCTGATGCGGCGATTGGCCTCTTTCCGTTTCTCCTGAGGTGAGCGGCCCCGTGGGCGAGTCCGAGCGTCGCATCTGAGGGCAACCATAACTTGGTCCGTCTCTCATAAAGCATCCATTCGGCCTCGGGGATGTACCCCGTTAGGCTTGAGTTGAGAATTGCTTACCGTCCAGAGCGTGGCGACACAGTGATTTTGGCCTGGAATATCTCGCGTCGGGAGTTTGGGAACGCTTTTCAGGAAATCGTGACCCTGATCGTATCCGCTTCCGCAGAAAACAGAGGCAGCCTGCTCCCGCCCTCCCCGGCGACCGTGAACAAGCTGACATCGGGACCCTGGACTTACTTAGGTAGATGATCCGAGCTTTGCCTACCCGACGAGTCCCGGATAGCGTCATACCTTTATGATCAACTGAGCTCTCATGTCTGCTTTGAGGCAACTACCGGCCTCGAGATGCTCTGAGCTTGCTCCAACCCTGCCACAGAATTAAAAGTTTCAAAATACTGCGAACGATCGCGACCATCCGAATTATCGAAAGCACGGCTCTTCAAAACTCGCAGGATATCGGGAGTCGCGACATTTTCCAGAAGAGCCCACAGTCCAACCTCTTCATGTTTCGACCTGAACTCTGTATTCTGCGGATACATTTCCATTCTAGAGGACTCATGAGAATTCCCTCCGCGGTCGATGGGAGTCCCGTGAAAGGAAGCTTTCGGAACCTTCGACGGAAAACCCATGGAATGCCGTCGAGAGACTCGATCAGAACTTGTATCCCCAAGTCTACCCCTTGTCGTGCTCCCCATCAATGAAATCTCGGGAATGATGAAGACCATGGAGCTAGATGGCGCTGTTCCCCCTCGCTCCCCCCTCTAAGATTAACTACTGCTCCCAAACCATTCATTGCCAGATGCCAGTATCGATCCTGATTCAGCTTGAAGGGAAGAATTCGACCCCGTTCCGAGTGGCTCCTTGCAGAATGGATACACACATCCTTCGTACTCTGTACGTGGGCCCCCGTCTGCTCCTCATAAAGTATCACATCGGACATCAATCGCTCGAGTGGGTCGCCCGGGGCAGGTATGAGACGGAGAGGAATCTCAGACGTCACGTACTGGAACTTTCTCCACCAAATACAATAGTTTCGGGCCCTCATCTCGTGACTTGGACATGGAACACGGGAGCTATCTCCAGGCAGAACGGGCGCTTGAACCGAACTCCCCGATCGCCCACGAAGAACATCAGGGTTCCAAAATTCCAAGTCGATCTCACACTTAAAAGAATGAACAACGAAGAAAGCACTCAAACATCAGGCTCCAAAAGCTCGGTTGCTCATCTACCCGCAAATCAACAGCAGTCACCCTTCTGTAGGGAAACCCGGGGATCGTTCAGGGAGGAGTTGTGCCGCTACGTGCAATATGACATAGATTTCTTCGTGAACTATTCAACAGCGGTATTAGGATTCCTGGCCGTGGCGGCCATCGGTTTCTACGTCGGGAGCACCGGATCTCTCGAGAAAGATCCCGCACTGATGACAAAATTCACAGTAGCCATCAGAGAAATCGTTGTCGACGACACTATGAGCCTCGCGGGGAAACTGTTCGCGATCAGAAAAGCTTCGGGAGACAACTACCTGAAGTTGTGGCGATTCCAGATGTTCAATTTCTTCTCGGCAACCGGCCTTCAATTAGAGAACATTCTCGGAAAAATTCGAAAGCAGTCGGAGATCATGTCCCAGATTTTCGGGGTTTCTTCGTCATTTCCGTTCCACAAGTGTCACAGTCTAAAGAAGAATCTCAATAATAACTGGTTGCGAATCGTCTTTTCGGGACGGAGGGAGCTTCCTCTGAGTGAACTCGCGGATGTGGCTACCAAACACGTGAATGAGACCGGGATATTGCCGTTTTTCGTGACACTGGGTGATGTAAAAGGCCGACCTTGCTTGGAATTCTCACCTGGCATCATCCGTTCGATCGGAGTCGACAGAGGGTCTGGAATGGTGCGGACGACTTGGTTCTGTCCGCAGACTAGAAATGGCGTCATTTCGAGAGAGGAATTCGGTGTTCTACAGGAGCAGTGAGTGACCCCCCAGGAACTTCATTGGGAATCCGCTCAACGTGTCCCGGGAGGGATCGACTGGAGCGACCGATGATCATTGCCCTATTTCTCCCTGAGGAGCTTTCTTGCAGCGGAATCACTAGGCTCCGAGCACTTTTCCCGATTTTCCAGAGCGCCGGTCGTCAATACGAGTGGATGCGACTCGGAATTCGAGTCGGCATGGAAAAATTTCGCCATTTCGTACGCAGGAGGCGTCGATTCGGAAGAGCGTCCGCTAGTCTACGCCGAAGCGTTCGAGGTGGGCATTCGATTGGGCTCCAGCATAGGTCACTCGAAAATCCGCATAGCGTAACGTCGATGTGACGAGTTTCTCCTGGCAGTTGATCAAAACCGTAGGTGCATTGGCTGTACCGAGAAGTCTCCCGAAATTTACTGTCTTTGTACACTGGGTTTCGGCTTCGAGGGAGGAGTGTTCCGCGTCTGCTCTGAAAGCGATCTATGGAACAGGGATGGACGAAGAAAGATTCAAGGACGACGTCCTCGAGGAATCCGTCCTGACGGCGCTCGGTGAGAACTCCTCGTCGGATATCCCTCAGCATGATTGAAGGCTCAAACATCGATAATACTTAAGATACTAATATGAATATTAACGAATATACACATACATACATATGTGTATTTGAATAATGGACTCAACAAGCGGAAGCCAAGGCATTCGTCTCATAGACCCTCCCGAACAATTTTTCAGATAACTTGGCTGAAAGTAGGAGATTGGGCTCTTGCGAAGAAGTTTTCGTGAATGTTTTCATGCAAATGATGAAAGCAATATGAACGAACATTTTCCATATGTTCTCCTCGGTATAAACCTTGTGATTGAATTGTAAAAGAGGCATGGAGCCGACTGATTCCGACGAAGAGCAAGAGAATTTTCGGTGTACCCCAGGCCCTACACAAAATGAGTTTCTATCGCAGCACATACTCTGGATGATGCTAATGAGACCTTGGAAGGGATTTTTAAGATCCGATGACCTGATCGATCTCATCTCGAGGTGCGCGAGAGACGGATCGAAAATGATTTTCGATGTTTCCGGTGTTCATTTAGTTCCGAGAGATTTGATCGCGCCTCACCGTTGCACCTCACCCTCAAAATTCTTTCTTAAGCGTTCTTTAATGGCAGCTTGGCGTGACTCTCTTTCCAGCGCTGTCTTCCTCCCTTGTTCAAGACAGGAGAAAAACAAAAGGATGTGAAAATTCCCACTATTTCCCTCGGAGGCGATGCATGGGAACTTGCCGGCTGCCCAACAGTCCCAGCGAGCAGTGAGAAACGCCAAACTTCCGACGTCTATTCGTGTTGTACGCAACGGAGAATATCTCGTATTTGTCCAGAGCCCTTCGAGTTTTCTAATTCGAGGAGCCGTGCAAGGCCTTGCGTCGGTAGCAGTCCCTCGAAGGTATTCGATTGGTCATCGCTTTCCGGTATCCCTCCTCTCTGGTTTTCCCTCGGGCTTCTCGCGATCGAATCATATCGAGTTTTGGATCGATTCTCCGTCGTCGGCTTCTGCCCTGATGCGTCCTCGACTGACCTTGGTTTCCCTTCTCGATCCTGCTCTCTCCACCCCACCCAGCTCAGGAGCACATGGAGTCCACGCTGGCAGTCTTCAATCCGCCTCCTGAGATCTCGCACGTCGTTCTTTTGCGGGGGGAGGCGTGGTCTCAAGTGCGCGTGCGCCAACGGGAGGAGTCACAGGACGAACGTGGACGAGTCTCAAGACTCCCTTCGGCTGGCCTCTTTTGTTACACGAGTTACGCGGGCGCCGGCAACACTTGCCAAACTTGAGGATTGTTGTCAACATGTCAGTGGACGGAGAATCTCGACACCGCGACGAGCTTTCAGACTGAAAAGTGACTCTTAATTGCCCGGAATCATAAATCTGCTCCCAAACCTTCAATATGGTGCATCCTCCTGCCTGGACGTCCGAATTCTCGACCTTGTTGTCGTTGTTGTTGCTTACCCTGCTGGTTTCGGTGATTCACACAGAAGGTCAACAGATTGATGACGGTAGGTGAAGCGTCACATGTAGGGCTTCCAGCGGTTCCTACCCGAGGTTCTGGAACCGCGGGTTTCGGCCGATTCTCTCGGATCCGGAGCCGACTGGTTTTCTCGGTTCTTACCCGCGGTTCCGAGGGGGCAAGTCAAATCATTCCCGGCGTCTAAACCACCATTGACATGCTCCAAAATGAGTAAGAATCCAGGCCGAGATGTTTTCGATGGCTGAATGTCTCTCTCATGCACGCAAACAAGGAAAGTATTCGAACTGACCCTCGCGATTTAGACGAGATAGCGCGGGATTTGTAGGTCGACCCGGGTTTTGAAAACCCCACATCACGTCTCGCTAATAATCAGGCCGCCTACATACCTATACTCGGCGGTCAGATTATTCGGAATCGCGAGGGGGCAGTTCTGGTCACTTCCCCTGTAGCCGCTCGACAGATGAGCGGGCTTGCTCTCGCT